CTAAGGCCTACCAAATCGCATATAAACGGATATCGATAAGAGTATACACATTTATATACAATTTCTTACCCCTTGATGTTTCCCACTTGCCCCAGTTAGATCCTCTAATAGGCGTTTTTAACTGCGCCTACTTGCAATTCTCAACGACTATACCATTATTATATGGTCCCAGGCGGGTACTTAACCGGCTATTACTTTAATTTTTTTAAACAACCCTATATCAGTGGCTACCACAGTTTATTTGATAACCACATATACGGTGTATACATAGGAGATATACTCTGTTGAATTCAGGTACATATACATGTAATATATACAGGATGTCTCATTTTAAAATACTAATAGATTTTTCTTCAAAAATACTAATCCAATCAAAAGAGTTGTTTTTTAGAGACTTTAAGAGTATAATAAAGGGGGAACATTTGTTTGGTTAACAAAAAATACATGGTTTCCATTTAAAAAAAACACGTTTTTGACCGTAAGTCAGCCATTTTGAATTTTAGACCACATATTTTTTAACGTCCCCCTTTATACTCTTAAAGTCTCTAAAAAACAACTCTTTTGATTGGATTAGTATTTTTGAAGAAAAATCTATTAGTATTTTAAAATGGGACACCCTGTATATATGTCAGTGTTCCATAAAGGCGGGCTGCCTCACCGAGTAATGTGAACTTTGAAATGATGAATTCAACTTTGTCTTTTTATAAGATTGTCCGTTTAGACACGTTTATAGCGGTCACTGTTTTATTTCACTTGCATTCTTTTAGTACTAAGTACATATTCTATGACTGGCAAATTAATAGGTAGGACTATAAAATATTAAATATAAAGTCTTATTATTATTCTCGTTGACCGCTGTTAAAGGTATTAAAAAAAATATTTGATAAAAATTTGATGACTTTTAAAAGTGCTATTTGCTATATTCTGGAGAAATAATGTGTTAAACGCTTTACAAAGTTATATACAGGGTGTACCAGAAACGATTGTCGCACACTGCGGGACGGTACTGAGGATAGATTTGTTTCTGATACACCCTGTATATCATAGTGTATTCAATGTTCGTCATTCTCGTGATGGTATATTATTCACTATATAGTGACATAAAAACCGTGTACATTATTATCATACCTATTCAAGTATGAAAATATAGAAACAACAAGAAAAAAAAAAAGGAAAAATGACTTTCTACTTTTATGGCTTTACTACATTTTATTATCATAAGCGCCAGTACGTCATCTCTTTCTGGGTTTATTTTATTTCCTATAATAATATTATATAATACACAACAAAACGCATTACAGACTTGTACTCATACCGGTAAAAAGGTATGGAACGTTGTAATGCAGGTTGCATAATAAAATTTAACAAATGAAAACTTTGTAAAATATGTGTACACGTACATACTTCAAAAGTTTGAGAGACAAGTACAATGGAAATTGCGGTCATAGTGCATATCATTAGTACAGTATAAAACTGAAATTACAGCATTTTCTGAATAACCGAATTTAAACTATAGTAAAGTTTAAACAAGGTTCGTTTGCTTAGCCGCCAGTCAAATGTAATAATTACATACACCGCAGAGATTACCTGTTCCAGTGTTGTCTTGGTGGTTACCTTCGTTATAATATTATAATATGCAAACCAGATGTGTATATTAATATGTACATAATATATACAAGTTTATATGTATATGCTAACCACTGTATTTAGTAAAAAAAAACACATAGCCCCTGGGCAGTTTGGGTCTATTTCTGGAAAGTCAGAAGCATTATTGTTGATTTTTCACTTGCATTCAAAGAGAACGATTTTGGTCAATAAAGAAGTATTTACATAGGAGTGTACGCTTAGATATGTAAATGCAAACAAAAAACAGACCACGGTCCCTTTTGAAGAGTATTCTCAAAGTAACATCAACCCATTACTGTAAACTAATATTTCACTAACTCTGAAATCAGCCTCAAAGCTTGCTCGAGTAACTCGATACACGTTTTTATTTTGTAGTATATTGTATACTTTGTGGTTAAAAAAAAAATAATGATAGATACAGAAATATAAAAAGTACAGCTCTTAAAAAAGCGGTTTGTTGGATAATTATTTGGAAGTAGAGCTCGACAATTGCATTTTTTTGTGTTTCTTTTAAGTTGTTTAACTAATAAATAAAACAAAAATCCAAGTTCCATTCGTTTGGCTTTAGTGTTACGCCCAGAAACCACCCGAGGGAACCCTATAGGAACTTTTATTACACTTCGCGTTTTATATTATAAAATGTCATAAGTTTTAGCTTTTATCTGACAACACACTTTTCGTCACGGTATTTGACGCACTTTGTAGGTGTTTATAACATGATCAGGGTTAAAGTGACAGCCCAAACAGCCTGCACACAAGGTACGAAGGGCGGCGAGGCCCGAAAAAGAGCTGATAAACTATGGTTATACTTAGGTAAACTAAGGTAAACGGAAAGCGAGGGGATGAATCAAACGGATAGGGGAGAAGGAGATGAGATGAGAGGGGTAGGGAAGTTTAAGATAAGGGATGGTACGGGAAAGAGAAGAGAGAGACTAGGAAAGAAAATTACCATAGACATAAACTACCACAGACCATAATTACCATAGATATATATTCGAATCGACTGGATGCGGTTTAGCTGTTATATTAAAATTCCATCCTATACATACAGGGTGATCTTTTAACGCTCTATACTGGTTTAATCTAAAAATAACTGCAATTTGTTATAAAATATAAATTAAAAATTATTAAAGTTTAAGGATGGAAGGTGGAATGCGGCTGGACAATGTGCACAGATAAAAATAACTCTACTCAAACTGTTAATTCAAATCTGGTTATCGACCACTCAACATTTTCAGCCAATTTATTCTTAATTAAATAAGTTTATACAATTTGTGCGTTGCCATTTAAGTTGTTGAAGCTCTATAAAATACAATAAGGTTTTCAAAAATAAAATCTACAAAATATTAGTTATTTTAAAAGAAAATGGCGTTAAATGGATCCACATGTGTATATTTCCTTCCTTAGGTACCATAAGACATATTATGTCATTCGTGATCCAAAGATTTTCCTTTGACTTACCAACACCGTAGTCGCAAGTGGGCCCCATGAATAGGTCCACGGCCGGCAGGTGGTCCCGCGAACAGGTCTTGATCATATCGAAAGCCGACCTGAGCGCTTCGATGTCCTCGCACTTGTCGTCGTTCTGCACGAACTGAAACGTCACCGTCCGTCGGCTGAGCACGCCTGTCCGGTACAGGTCTCGCACGGCTATGTCCAGCACGGGCATCACCTTGGACAGGGACGCGCTGAACCTGCGGTCGGCCGGCAGCACTACGGCCACGCGGACCTCGATGGCGCCGCCGCCGCCGGCCGAGACAGGCTGCACCAGCGGTAAGACCACCGCGGCCACCGCGGTCAACAGACCAAGGCGCATCTCGTAGAATGTCTCGAGGCGGTACAGCGAAAAGAAAAAACACCTAATCACCTTTGCCGCCGGTGCGTTCGCGTCGACTGACGACTGTAGTGGGCGCTTATTATAAGCGTGTCGGCGAAAAGATAGATAATAAATTAATAGAGACGGTGTATAAATTTTTTTATATTAATACCCGTGTACATATAATAATAATATATATTGTATAATATGTATAATAATACCAACAATAGTATTATTGACAACGTGTATTCGGCGGTATCGGACGAGTGTTTGTTTGCTCTGCTCTATCTACCTGTCACCGTGCACCTGACAAAATTACACACTCTTATGGCAACGGCTCTCTCACTCTCTCTCTCTCTCTCAAAGATAACGGTTAATAATTCAGAGATAACGGCCCGTTTCAATCAGTCAGTCAGACTATACAGAGTGATCCAACTAACGTAAGACACTCATTTTCTCTTTGAAAATATGAATATTTTGTGAATTGTTGTTTTCCTAAACTATTAAGTACATATTTTACTATATTTTTCAATATTTTGAAAATTTTCACCACCAAATCCTGTAAGCCAAAAAAGGGGGATTTTTGGTTTTTTTTTTATTGGCAATATGTGTTTTTAATTACATAAATTTGTAGACAAAAAACACCCTGTATATTATATTAGAACATATTATTATTTTGCCAAAACACACATGCTATGTTCCACTCAAACTCAAGACTCTATATTATTTTACACGACCGCCAGACCGAATAATTTCAAAGACAGTGGCTCAAATGTGTCAATTTGTTGACAACAAAAAAAAAGGACCACAATACAGCTGCTGAGGATTACAAGGCTTTTATCAATAGCCGAGATATTGTTGTACTCTTTGTGCTGCATCCTTGAATATTATTATGCAATTCGTAGTGCGTAGGTCAGTCACAAAATATATTATTTAATTCCTAGCGTTTGTTGTGCGCGTTCACTGTGACGGATTTGACTTAAAAGATAGATGTGGTTGGCCGTTACGGTTTTTGATTGATATTAATGGCGCTGTTGTATCGGTTGACAATTAAATAACGATTATCGCGGATTTATTTGCATATTTCTTCACTTGGTATATTTTAATATTTTATACTCGTTAAAAACTGTTAAATGGGGGAGGCCAAACGAAATGAATAATAATCATTATTATTTATCGTTTCGGCTTGTATAATATCAACAAACAACATGAATATAAAATAATGTAATAGTGATTTTATTATAGACGATTAAAATTAAAACCATTGAAACGCAAACAGTTTCATTAAGAAAATACAATTTGTACATCCAGAAAGGTAAATAAGCCTATAATATAATATATGAATAAAAAATAAGACTAGACTTATAAATTACACATAAAACCCATGCAAATTCGGTTCGCGTGCAACTATTATTATTATAATAAATGACTTTTAAAATTTGTTTTTTTTTTTTTTAATATATAAATTTAACGTTAAAAAAATAACAATTGTTTCTAATTTTAATAACAAAACGTAAACGACTCGAGCGTTCAAATCAAATATAATATTATACAGGTGTGCGTTTTCACTGATAACAGTTAACTATAGTTGGCGTAGTAAAACGGACAGTACTTGAGGGTGTGCGCGTTGTCGCCGGTACCGTTGCAGTGCTTACACCGGAGCGCCCGGAGTTTGGGACAAGTGGTACGTGTGGCGTCCCGCACCAGGTGGCTGCCGTACACCTCGGGCGGTTCGTGGTTCTTGTAGCAGAAAGTGCAGTAGTGCTCGACCAGCTTGTTGACCATGCTGTCGCTGTTCACCCGGTAGTAATAGAGCCGGGACGTCCAGCGCGGCGAATTGGACGCCGGCGAGTAATCGGCCGATCTGGACGACGTCAGCGTCTGCGACAAATACGGCGGTGGCGTATTGCTGCAAGATTCCATGTTGGGCGGCGGCACCGAAGCGTTGAACAGCATGCGGTTTTCGCCGGAATACGACAGGCCGCCGCCGCCGCCACTGCTGTTCTGGAACGAAAACAGCGACGAAGAAGAGGACGACGACGACGTGGAACAAGCGAGCGGCATGAGGTCGCCGATGCTGTTGTTGGTCGAAGACAACGACGCGTCCGCCGCCATCGAATCGTTGGACGACAGCACAGTCAGGTTGTTGCTGGCCTGTCCGCTGCCGCAACTGTACGGCGAAAACTGTAACCGCGTTGCCGGTAAAGACGTCGAGAACACGCTTCTGCCATACTGTTGTGGCGGTGACGGCGTCGACTGGAACAAAAACTGGTCGACGGACACCGGTGACGCGTTTACCGACGGTGACGGACGGTGATGCGTTCCGGTCGACGTATTCCATTGTGTCCACGGAAACAACACTTCGCGTTCGTTCTTTTCCAATACCTTTTTCACAAACATAAACCAATTGGTTAGTAAATATTTTACAGACATAATATTTAAGTCTTAGGAAAATATTTATAATAAATATATTAGACATTTTTGGCTAATTTTAATTTTTCTTTTAAAAACTAATTAAATTTACTCTTGGTCGTTTGTCCCAACTACATTGTGTTTTACCTTTAACAGACTCTATAATTATGTTTTTTTCAAAAATGCCTTATGGAGTATAATGTATATTTTAGACGCAGTGGAACGTTAAAGATAGCATATTATATTTTATCTATTTCAAATAGTTGCAACTTAATAAAGTAATTAACGGAAACAACTAAAAAATATACTTCAATAAAATCAAACACTCAAATAGTAATACATATATGTCTATATATGTATTAATTATCTAAACTTTAAATAATAATCCTCAATAAATGTTTTTTCGAAGATCTTTTTTTAATTTTCGGTTCACATTTATTTTTAAAATAAAATAAAAAAACAATACTAATATTTCGAAACATTAGAGCTTACTTTATGCTGTAAATTAGTGCTCAAGGTCAATTATGAAAAATCGAAGATAGACACATTCTGACTAAGTCGTCTAAAATGGGCTCTCAACGAATTATTTATAAAACGCACGTGACATAATTATATACATTTAATGACACTTAATGCGGTGTAAAAAAAAAAAGACAGCTTATTTGATCAAATTACACGTTTCAAGAGGTTCGAAAAATATTTCAGAAAATACAATAAAATGTTTTTAAGCTAAAACGAAACAACATTACTATAACAACAAGCAGAATGAGTAACTTGATGGTATTACCAGGGCACTGATAAAAATTAACATGGGAAAGATACTTATCACATAAAAACGCAACGGCCATAGTCTTAGAGCGTCGCAGGTGACCATTTTCGTAAAACTAAAAGTAGCATATAATTTGTATACGAAAGTCAAAACAATAATCGATTTAATGACTAGAAAAATGTCTTTAAAGCCGGTCTCACACGACTCGCGTATTTGGCGAATAATCGTCAATCGCTATGCTTTACGAGTCGTATAGGAGATATTTATTCGTAAACGTCGTTTCCCGATCGTTATCGGTAAATATGACACGTGTCAAAGGCATAACGAATATTCGTATAAACAATTGTTGTGTCTCCCAGACGACTCAGGTCTCAGAGTTCATATAAATATCGGCGAGCATCCGCGATGACGATGATCGTCAAGTACACGAGTCGTGTGGGACCGGCTTAAGAGGTTTTAATAATGTGTATTAGCAATTAAAAAACTTAAGTTATAACTAATTTAAACAAATATATTTCATAAAATAAAAACCGTAATATCCATACTTTAAACTGATAGTACTAAATAGATAAAAAAAGGTAAAGATACGGTCATTGTATGCCCTTTCGACATGACCGTCACGTTTTTGTTTACTTTAAAAGTAACCCTTCTGCTTTTATCTATTCTGTGGTAATACTATTATCATACAGGGTCTAATCAATGATAAACTGATAACGCACATTTCCAATATCATCACTTTAACGCAAAACGCTGATAACATAATTTAACAACACGCACATTTTTACACAGCGATAAATGACCCTGTAATTTAACTAGTGATTAAGTACATTTTTAACAACAGATTACATATTTTAAAACATGGTTTATGCAACAGAATTTATTTCAACTCCAGTTAAACGAGTTTCTCTCTGTGTAAATATTTGGTGCAACTCGGCATTAGATAATAATTACTCCATAATAAGATTTCTACTCACGTTGGCCGGGATAGACTCCAAATATTGTTGATACCCGTTTTGAATGATCCACGATACTTTGGTGTCTGCCAAATTGAATAGATCGTTTGCGTTGATTTCTGAAGGTTTGAATAAGTCGTCTGCCTGTTTTCTTATGTTCTCCGACACGGTCAAAACGGCCGGACCGAATTTTTCAGCTACAGCCGGTTCCTCGTTCATCTGCAGGAAGCGTTCACATAGATCATCTTGGTCGTCAGTCAAACATATGTCCCATTTAATCAATATCTTGTTGATCTCGCTAACCCGTCTCGTCTGCGTTAATTCGTTAAAAGTGAATTAAAAAATTTAATTGTCCTTTAAAAAAAGGACTTCTCAATTAAGAACTGTTAGCTGAGTATAGCTGCACCTCAGCTATACTCCAAACTAAATAATATTATTAAAAAAAAAACTGACTATGCTAATAATGTGCTCATACGCTTATTTAAAAAGTCTGTAAGGAAATATATATACAATTTATACTAGAGGTCCCTATTACACGTGTATTCGATTACACATGAAACCCGTGTAATTAACATACACGTGTAATTATCACGTCTATTTACTCATACGAACTCAAACACAAGTATAATTGTGTAAATACGTTAACTCAAACTAAAATTTTTGATAAAATAAATTTTTTTAAATACACGTGTATTTATAAATACACGTGTTTTTATAATTACACGTGTATGTTAATTACACGGGGTTCGTGTACACGTGTATTTAAATTACACGTTTAAAATCACAGGCACTAATTTATACCGATATAAGACTTGTACTCACTACCCCGTTTTAAGTTGAGTTATAATAAAAAGGGTATTTTAAAAAATTTGGTTTTCAGACACCTTTTTTACATCTTCGCGTACGCCACTATGGTTACATCACTCATCTCTTTAAACTTAATATATTTCATTTATTTTATGCAAATGAACATAGTGCGCACTGTGCTCCACAGCCGGTATTTTTATTTCGTAAGTTGCCATAATTAATCAAATATGTAGTTGTTTATAATTAATTACTATATTACTATTTTGTTTTTCATCATTATTTACCACCTTGATTTATTACTTCTTTTAGATACATACAAAATTAAAAAGAAACATAAATCAGTGATCATTACTAACAGCATATTAACGACAAGGGTAGCTTTTAATAGATGCCCATTACACCTGGAAAACTGTATACAGCATAAGATCTATGCAAATGGGTATACACAGCTATAAAGGTCAGTATATACAACTTGTAAGTCTGGCAAGAGTGTTTTGGCAATGTTTTTGAATCAACGATTTTGTTTAATTTCGCGAATAGAAATGTAAAAGTTTTAAATGAGATTTATCGCCGAGAGACGGTCGCCGCTTTGGCCGCAAGTATCCTCAAGAGATTAGAAATCCCCAAAACGTGACAGATCCTTGCTCGCCAATGATTTAAATAACAAAAATACAAAGCTCTTCCTTGAGATTATCATTGAAACGCACGAGTAAAGAAAATATAGAATTTCCCTCGCTTAGATCCTCGTGAACAATTTTCATTCGATAAGTCTTATTAAGTATACCGTATATGATGATATTTTTTATTTGAAAAAAAACAGCTTGCAATGACAACAATAATTATTAGAGAAATTAAATCAAGAACAAATTCGGCAAATATCATTCAACGACATGACAGTGACACAAAGAGTGTAAATAATACAGAAATACATATTAAATAATATTTGACTCATAAACCTATCTGCAAGGGTTGTGCAAATTATTTCTTTTAAAAAAACTAAACCGTTAAATCCGCAAAATAATGCAAATAAAAAAATAGACAATAATGAAAACATGCAAATAATACAAATTTTACCAGTATAATAATGTTTCCTGCCGTTTTCTCGACCGAGCTTGTAAACAGTTGTGGTAAACAAGTTTCAACAGCAGTGTTTCACTTAAATTTATTAAAATTACCCCTAACCAATTGCACAGTCCATTAAAATCTAAAATACAATTAAGTATAATAATAATATGTTCAGTACAGACACGGCTCAATCCAAAATTGTCTAAGTTTTTCTTAAGTAAAGCAAATTCCAAAAAAACATAGTAGCTGCTTCGAGTCTATCAAAAGTGAAGCGACGCAAGTGATTTCTCGAAAACCGAGATTGAAAGAGTGTAAATTCAAAAATATTTTTTGTTAAAAGTAATTTGTAATAGTTATAATATCATAGTTCTTTTTTTTAACTAGTAGTAACGCGATGATGTACAAACAGCTAAAATTGTGTAATTAGCGTCTATTTTCAAATTTCATAAAAACTGATAATAAATTAAAGTCGAGTAAACAAGTAGTTTTAATTCATTTCCAATTCCTTTCTAGTGATTCAATGTGGAAGTTTGAATAAACAGATACTCTAATAACAGTAATGCACTACTATAATAACATTAATAGCCAACAATTATATAGTTTATTAATTTTACCTTATACATATTGTAAAGTCTACCGAATTATACTAAATTCAACTGGTTCACTTGGAAAGGAATTTGAACTAATTAACACTACTTGCTTAAGTGGTTCATTAGACTGATGGACTTACCTCGTAGGACAGAGGAAAAGCTGTGGGACTGAACGAATTCCTAGTCGAATGTTGCTGAAGTTGAACACCTCGTTGGTCGTTTTTTATCCACGAATATCTGTCAGGTGAGAGTACAAACTGCCGATCGCCCATTGTGTCGTTGTGTTTGATGTTTTATCGACGATAATAATAATAATATGTAGATTTAATGTGATTAATGAGTAATAATTGAACAGTAAATATAATGGCAGTCGTTCGCCGGTAAAAAAAAAAATGACATATCAAACCAACGCTACGGCTGGTGTACACAACAGCTACCGAACAGTGTACTGAACTCTGAAGAATTACACAAAAGGATTGATATTTTATGTGTGTATATTATATTTGTGCGAGGCCCTGGCCGTGTAAAAGAAGGGACGCGATAGTCAAAACAATATTATGTTTCGGCAGATTCCACCTCTGTCTGCGGTCATCGGCAGTTGGCTTTTACAACAAAGACACAGCCAAGACCTGGCCGACCAGTGGTGCTCAACTCGGGGTCTCTGAAAAATGTCTGTAATCCATTTGAATTGTCTTTTGTTTACAGTTTGAAAAGTCCAAAGACGCATCAAGTTGTGTGACCACAACTATGCTTATGTGGTCTATGGAAACACTGACCGCAGACCGCTTCAGTTGGTATATATAACAATTATTAGGGGTCTATAAAACACCTGCTAACCAACGGGCAAGATCAAGCTGTTAAACTTACCAACCGACCTTTACGAATCATTGGGTATACGGTAGAAAACAGTCATCGCCTCTTTAAAAAAATCTAACTAGTATATTATAATGTAATCTAATTATTACACAAATGTAAATATATAATCAGTCACCTATCCACTAATAAAACGCATACATAAGAGAGAAGGCGTTCGAACCGAAATTATGTTCTTAGAGGTCCGAGTGTGATAAAACAAAATATGTGCAGGTGGTTATTTAAAAATTAAAGATCCGGATGTGGTGTAAAAATGTACAGGGGTTATTATTATAATATCATCCATGTCACGTCGTTTAAATTATATATGTATAATTATTTAAAAACGACAAGTCCCGTCTGACTATCGAAACATACTTAGTAGATGGGGATGTGATATAAAAAGGTAGAGGAAGAATATTAACAATTATGTACCCCCTTACTTTATATACATTTTTTTTATAAAATATGCAGAATGACAATTAAGTCCTAATTATAACGTTTCATTTTTTTGATTCGACAACACTGAAATGGAAATTTGTCCATCCCGTCTCGTGTTTTAGATATTCCTATTATATATTTTAATCTATTACCCTTGCCTACTTGATAAAACACGTTAGATTGCATTATAATTTAAAAATATTTATAATAAATAAAAATAAAACATGTAATTTAGAAATTATTAAAATAAATTAAAATACTAATGGCCTAATGCTTTGAATGCGTTATTTTTAAAATGCAAGGTAGTAGGGTTTGTTTATCAAAGTAAATCTTTAATAAGTAATGAACATTTTATATTTTGTAAAAACAGTGAAGTTTAATTTGTTACTAAAATAATATTAGGTCTTATGATTTATGACCATGTTAATTGTTATTAAATAATTCGCCGTCATTAGGCATTAGCTTGTTCTGATAACACTCGACTACTATCAGTTCACTTATAGATAACAATTAGACCGTCTAGAGCAAGATTATTGACATTTGACACAGTATAGATAAAAGTTTATTCTGTCTAATTTAGTCTATTCTGTGTTAATTAGTTGACTGTTGAGTACAACAACAGTACAAGATACAAAGTACAAGTAAGTACTAAACCGCAGTTTTGTTTTCTAAATTCTATTAAATAAATTAGTGCTTTATATTTTGTGATAGTTTTTTTTAAGTCTAAATACCCTTCGTGCAGTAATATTTCAAAGCAAACCTACGCAATTTGGTTTGCAATTGTAACAAAATCAGGTAAGTAAAATAAATAATTTGACAGTAATTTATCTGTATAGGTATTATGCGTTTTAATTTTAAAATATTCATAACACAATTATCTAAACACGCCTACATTTCAATGCCGTTAAAACTGATTAATTTTGCAATTTATCACTTAAATGTTATGTAATAACTTATGTTGTGTAATGCCAAATTTAATTTGGATTTAACAATTAATGTTAAAATATACATCAGTAGACGTGTGTGAATTATTATTCTTCGGATTTATCTAATTGACATGTAATTCTACATGACATTCTACATGTTAATTACGTATGTTTTTTGTGTTTAGCCTAAACAATCATTATGGGAACCAAATTTAGATTTGCTATTGATCGAGGAGGTACGTTTACAGACGTTTATGCTGAATGCCCCAACGGTAAGGTACAGGTAATGAAACTGTTGTCTTTGGATCCATCGAATTACGACGATGCTCCTCGTGAAGGCATCAGACGGATATTGCAATCGGTAACACATTGTGTTTATTCAAGTATATTACAAAACATATAATGTCTGTTTTTTTTTTTTTTAGGAAACTGGAATACGAATGCCACAAACCGAACCAATCGACAGTTCCTATATTGAATGGATTAGAATGGGCACAACTGTGGCTACGAATGCTCTTTTGGAACGTAAAGGAGAACGAATGGCACTTTTAATTACAAAAGGGTTTAAAGACTTACTACATATTGGTAACCAAGCGAGACCAAAAATATTTGACTTGGTAATTTTAGTTAAATTAAAGTAAAATATTTGATATAAACTGTTCAATGGTAGCATTAATATTGTATTCATAACGATAGCATTTGTTAAAATAAAATAATAATTAAATCATTTTTTTAGGAAATCACTACTCCGGATGTGCTTTATGATGAAGTTGTTGAGGTAGACTGTAGAGTAATTAATTTAAAATGTGAAAAAAGTGATAATTTGGAATCCATTTGGGGTGATGTTCCAGTCGTGCATGGGGTTACAGGTGAAGAACTATTGATATTGAAACCAGTCGATGAGATAGCTGTACACAATGATTTATTGTCATTAAAAGCTAAAGGATTCAATAGTATTGCTGTAGCTTTTATGCATTCCTACACGTAATTTATTATTTACATAGTATATTTTGTAGAACTAGGAGAAAAGTCAAGCATAATAGGTAGAAAATATCAAAGCAAAAGAGCACAATTGACATTTTTGTGAAAATCTATTTTGTATTATATTAGCGTTAACGACAAATTTCCTATCGATTGTGCTAATCATATTATTAATTTTCTGTAAACACCATTAATTAACAGGATCAGTTTAATCGAAATCTAAAATATTTTAATAAATGTTGTTAAGCCCTTTGCCTTTGATGTATTGACATGTAGAAATCAGTCCAATAAAAAAAAAAAATACATTATTATAAAGCTATAACTTGGCATCATATCACATCACTAAAATTTTTGTTATTCTCTTAATTATACATTATAAATATTAATTTAAAACTGACTTATGACCTAATGAACCTCTTTTATTTTGTACCAAGCTTTTAAGATATGTCTTCCCAATAATGTTGATCTCATGTTTGCCTCCAATGAAAATATCAATGTATGTTTATAAAGTGAACATTTGTAATTCAAGTACAATTTTTTATTTTACAGTTATACTGAACACGAGTTAACTGTTGGCAGAATAGCAAAAGAAGTAGGTTTTGGTCACGTGTCTTTGTCTCATGATATTATGCCGATGGTGAAAATCGTACCTAGAGGTTTTACGGCTTGTGCAGATGCGTATTTAACTCCTCATATTCAAAAATATGTCCAAGTAAATATTTGATTATTTTTTCTTATGATGCATATGTTTGATTGAAATAGTCAATTTCAGAGTTTCGCTTCGGGGTTCAAAAATAACTTGAAAGACGTCAATATACTATTCATGCAAAGTGATGGTGGTCTCACGCCCATGGACAGGTAAATTAAATAACGGCTTTTAAGTATAAATATAAACATATTTTAAGTGATTTTTTTTTTCAGTTTCAATGGTTCAAGAGCTATTTTATCGGGTCCAGCTGGTGGTGTAGTCGGATACACAGCCACTACTCCGTATAAACCTATTATAGGCTTTGATATGGGCGGTACCTCAACGGACGTTAGTCGATACGATGGAACATTTGAACATGTCTTTGAATCCATTACTGCTGGTGTTACTATTCAAGCACCTCAAGTAATATTTTTTTAATTGTTTACATTGTGTTTTATTTCGGTAGTAACTGTGAATGTATAATATTATGTTAGTTGGACATAAATACCGTAGCGGCTGGTGGAGGCAGCAGATTGTTTTTTAGATCCGGCTTATTCGTTGTTGGACCTGAAAGCGCAGGAGCTCATCCTGGACCAACGTGTTATCGCAAGGGAGGTCCAATTACAGTAACGGACGCAAACCTGGTTCTCGGCAGATTATTACCAGAATATTTTCCGTCGATATTTGGCCCGACTGAAGACTTGCCATTAGACAAAGAAGCGGCTCTAAATGAATTTAAAGCTCTTACTGTTGAAGTAGTACAAAAATACATTTTTAATTTTACAACTATATCATAAATAGTTTTTCTTTAAAGGTAAATAACTTTTTAAAAAGCCAATCGGAAAATTCCAAGCTAATGTCTGTTGAAGATGTAGCCATGGGATTTATTAGAGTTGCTAATGAAGCGATGTGCCGTCCAATCAGAGCATTAACCCAAGTAAATATTGTTTCATTATAAGAGATGAGTATGTTTTGTTAGAATAACTGTTGTCTAACATTTTCATTACAATTTTAGGCTCGAGGATACGATACGCGGCTACACACTCTAGCATGTTTTGGTGGAGCCGGAGGTCAACATGCTTGTGCCATTGCTCGTTCTCTGGGAATTGGCCGAGTAGTTGTACATAAATATGCTGGAATTTTATCGGCATATGGTATGGCGTGTGCTGATGTCGTTCACGAAATACAGGAACCCTGTTCTGTTACGTATGATAGTGGTGTGTATTATTTTTTAACCCGATTTAAATAATTCATGTATTTATTTAATGTAAATGTGAACATTAATTTTACCTAGACAACTTTTCATACCTTAATGAGCGTATTTCTACTATGAGAAGCAAATGTATAGAGGAACTTAAAAAACAAGGTTTCTCAGATAATCAAATCCGTGTTGACCCTTACTTGCATTTACGATATGACGGTACCGACACTGCTCTTATGTGCTCGGCAGTGCAAAATGATTCCACTTGCAATAATGCTATACTCCAAGATTTCTTGATTGGTTTTCTTGAAAGGTAATAATCGTATTAGTTGTCTGTGTCACAGAGGAGTTGTGACAACCATTGGATTGATAAAATTTAATCAATTATTTTGGTGTGTAAAATCTCTCTTACGTATTTTTCAATATGAATTTGCGAAACCCATTAAAAAATTGTTTTATAATATAATCTATGTATTGTGGGTTTTTTTTAAAACACTTTTCCAATTACTAATTACTTTCGATGATCAGGGTTTTGTACTTGAATTAACTAGACACTTAACATCTTTAATTATTTATCTGCTATTTCCTAACATTTAACACAAATACATTGTTATATAACACAAGCTTAACTTTGTACAAACATTTTTTGTACTTAGATATCGCAATGAATTTGGTTTTACTCTTCCTGATCGCAAAGTCTTTGTGGATGACATTCGTATAAGAGGAATAGGACAGACGTTGTTAGTCGATTCGAATGAAGAAACCGAGAAGGCTGAACATATCCCGTTTGCTGAATCGGTATGTATTATTACTATTATGTTATTAGCTTCAACTTAGGCTGACTTGTTTTTTATTATTATTTTTTAAAGACAACAAAAGTTTTTTTCGAAAAATTGGGGTATGTAAGTTGTAGTATATACTTATTTAGTAATTTAACTAATGGAAGTGCAATTACCGGACCGGCCATTATAATGGATAAATTGAGTACGATATTAATTGAACCAATGTGTAAAGCTGTAATGAGCAAGTCTGATGATATCGGTAAGTAGATAATACTCAATGCAACTTATAGCTAAAAATATTATTTTTACTACAGTACATTAATTATTTTTTAGAAATTGAAATTAACTGCGATCAGTCTATGAAAATTGGCGTTGAATTAGAACCAATTCAATTAAGTATTTTTTCTCATAGATTTATGAGCATTGCTGAGCAAATGGGCAGGTCAGTTTAACTTTATTACCTAACTCTGTTTGGTTTATTTTTCATTTTACATTATCTATCTGTATTTTAGAATACTTCAAAGGACATCTATATCGACAAATATCAAAGAGCGGTTAGACTTTTCTTGTGCATTATTTGGTCCCGACGGAGGCTTAGTGTCTAACGCTCCTCACATTCCAGTTCATTTGGGTGCTATGCAAGAAGCCGTTCAATATCAAGTAACGTTTTCTAATTATTCTCATAAGTTTTTAATTGTTTGTTTGTTTAATTTTTGTTTTTTAGATCAAAACAATCGGTGATCAAATTCAAGAAGGCGATGTCATCCTTAGTAATCATCCAAAAGCTGGAGGCTCTCATTTGCCCGACTTGACTGTTATCACACCTGTATTTTACCCGTAAGTATGGCTGGTGTGTACATTATTGACTTGGCAAAACTATTTTTTTAATTTCTAGAGGACAGTCGAAGCCGGTGTTCTATGCAGCAAGTCGAGGACACCATGCTGATATTGGTGGCATTACCCCAGGATCAATGCCGCCTCATTCTAAAACGCTATCCGAAGAAGGGGCGCAGTTTAAAAATTTCTTTTTAGTACACCGCGGTCGTTTCTGTGAAGAAGAAGTTACAAACGCTCTTATGGCGCCCGCATCCATACCCGGATCGTCTGGTACTAGAAACCTCAAGGATAATTTGTCAGACTTGAAAGCTCAAATTGCAGCAAATCATAAAGTACGGCAAATGGATGATTATATAGATTACCTATACAGAATTTATATTAATCCGATGTAAATTTCTCAAAGGGCATTTTCTTAGTGACTGAACTCATCGACGCCTACGGTTTAGATGTTGTACAAGCGTATATGTATCATATACAAAAAAACGCTGAATTTGCCGTCAGAGACATGTTAAAGAACATTGGTATAAGTCATAACAAATCCAACTCTAAATCGAAAATGTTAAACTGTGTTGATTATTTGGACGACGGTTCGGCTATAAATCTCTCGGTTGAAATCGACGTGGAAAATGGAGAAGCTGTATTTGATTTCCAGTGAGAACAAATACGAAAAAAAATAGTGGCCAACACGAAAATCACTCTAAACTTATTGTGGTTTTGTTATATAGTGGAACAGGATATGAAGTATGGGGTAACTGCAATGCTCCGAAAGCGATTACTCTGTCGGCATTGATATATTGTTTAAGAAGTATGATCGGTTACGACATACCGTTAAACCAGGTATTAAGATTTACTTTTGTTGCTGTTAAATAATAATTAATGTCGACTCATTTTTTAAAGGGATGTTTGAAACCGATAAAAATAATTGTGCCGTCCGGAACGCTTCTTGACCCGTCGGAGAATGCAGCTGTTGTGGGGGGTAACGTCTTAACTTCTCAGCGAGTTGTAGATGTAGTTTTGAAGGCGTTCAACGCTGCTGCTGACAGCCAAGGCTGCATGAACAATATAACTTTTGGCCAAGACAATTGGGGTTATTACGAAACTGTTGCCGGTGGTGCCGGAGCTGTGAGCAAAACAAATAATTTATATTGTCAACAACAACATAGTATAACAATTATTTCCAAATTACCTTAGGGTCCTACCTGGACAGGTCAAAGTGGTGTCCACACGCATATGACTAACACACGCATAACCGATCCGGAAATTCTAGAAAAACGTTACCCGGTATTTTTGACAACATTTACGTTACGCAAAAATTCTGGGGGAAATGGTAAATACTTTGGCGGCGATGGTGTTATAAGAGAACTACAATTTAGATCAACTGTTACGTTATCCATACTTACCGAAAGACGATCGTTCGCACCTAATGGTATTAAAGGTATGTATTGAAATTGCGTGTTAACATAATATGTAAATATGATAATATTATTATTATAACTTATGAAAACTAAAAAATTGCCTCATGAATTAAATTTCAGGTGGGGAAAACGGTAAAAAAGGAGAAAATTTACTAATCAAACAAGACGGAAGAAAAATCAGACTCGGTGCTAAAACTGCAGTTGATATGGAGCCTGGCGTAAGTACATTACTTGTTAAAGTATTTATTATTTGATATTTACATTGTTTATATTGCTGGTTACAAATATTTTCTAGGATAAGTTCTTGTTACTCACTCCAGGAGGTGGCGGTTATGGTCCTCGAATTAGCAAGAATGAAGAAATTACAAGCGTCGAGAAAATAAAGAAAATCCCCGTGAGGGAACAAGGTTCTTTGTACAACTATCAAATGTTACAAGAGTCGGCTTAAATATAAATTCATAATTTTAACCAATCTTTCGTCGCTATTAATTGACACCACTTATCATTTGTTGTTTGTGTGTCATTACTCATTACGGTATGACTTTTTTTTTTATTATTGTTATAAACTTCTTATTTTTCATTGAACTAATCTCATCCGATCCAAAAAATATATGTAACGTTTAAATTATATTATATTTTTGGATAACAACCGATATCTAATGCATACCTTAATTATTGCTCAATGCCTAGTTACCAATTTGATTGTGAGGCAATTTAAGTGTTTTAGAACAATATGCATTTGTGATTTTGTATACTCTAACAAAATTTAAGTTTTATATATTATATTTATTTTTTTAAAAGGTTGTAATGTGCCATCAAAACATTTGGATTGTTGCTGATTATTGATATTCTATAAACAGAATACAAAATATATATTATATATTTACTTATTTTATTGTATTGTGTTTTATCATTAAACAAATAGAGTGATTTATCGCAATAAAAAGTTAACGGTTGTGTTCATGTCAAATAAACATTTCACGAGTACAAATTATTATTTATATCATTTTAAACTTTATATTATGATTTATGAACTAAATATTTTACGTTAAAGTTTGTGATTTATATATTGATATGAATATATTATGTATTTTCCAGAGAGCTATCAACTTTTGAAACTTAAACGGAAATATACATATATGTTTATTTAATTGTTTAAAATAAGAAAAATTTGCTGAAAATTTGTAATGGTCGATAACCGGTTTTCAATATTTACATTTAAAGTTTAGGATAAGAATAAAAAGTGGAGTGAAGTAGTATTTTTATCTGTTTGCATTACTCAACCAGAAATCAGTGTCTTACGTTAAATGGATCACCCTGTATAATATGCTAAAATCCACCAAACGGTAAAAAGCCCTTATCGCTGTGCATAATTATAAGTCAGCATGTTTTCATGAAACCGTTTGAAAGCTAAAAAAAGGGTCTTTATACGGTGGTGGTTACCTTATACATATTATACTTAAAAGTGGTCTTTCAACTAACATATTTTTTTGTTTAATTACAATACTGTAGACTAACACATTTGAAATTTAATCAGACCTACAAATTATTGTCCTTGTGTTTAGTTTGTACGTTTAATCCATTGTGGGAACAAGAATTAATTTTATATGTAGAAAAAAAAACAAGTAGTAATTGGAACGTGATGGTTTTGTTGTGCTTAGGTGACGAACGAACACCATGTGAGTATATGATCCGTCATGTGCATCAGCTCGATTAGATTAACGGTAAGACAATATCTGAACAGCTAATAAAATGCGTCTCAAAAACAAAAAATATATATACACCGAGTGATCCATTTAACGTAAGACACTGATTTTCTTGGAAAATAAATATCATTTTGTAGTTTTACATACATTGTACGATATTATAAAACAGAAAACTCACGAGTATTACTTACTCCCTATACCTCTTTTTAGTATTTTCCAGGTGTATATAAACAGCTTACATATTACATGTTTAATTAACTTTTTAAAATAAGAATAATTTGCTGAACTTTTTTACGAGTTTTGAACAGTTACTTATTAAGTTAACAGAGTAAAATCACATGAAATAAAAAGATTAGAAACACAATTTTATAATAATTTCGAAAAATATACTTCACAATTTTCAACTATAATAAAATCCATTATTTACAAAAATAAAAGTTTGAAAAAAAACATGTACATTACGTGCTAAAAAAGAAACTAAAGGTAACGTCAGACTATATATACATAATCAATATAATAATGTATTTACAATTATTTTATTTAACTTCTAGGTACGTTGGAAGTTTTTTTTTTTTTTTGAGCAAGTAAGTATATAAGTTTTGATCAACAAAAACTAAAATAGATAAACGAAAATATCGTTAAACATAATTATATCTAAAAGAAAATAATTAAAAATCATCGACTATTTTGTCGTTTTCGTCGACGAAACGAGACGACTATTGTTCTACTTAAAACAATATTATGTTAGTATTATTTACACATTTAGTCGGCCATCACGATGAGTGAGGTTAATAGTGGTGTCTAGTGGTGACGTCCGTCGCTCCTGTACGGTCGGTCGTCGTAGTAATGAGGTCGAACGGGCCTGCCAAAGTTGTCGGAAACGTAACCTCGGTGACGGTCGTCGTCGCTGGTGTAACCACCGTTCGGGTAGCCCGACTTGTACGACACGGGCGCCGGTACCGTGTGTCCCGTGGCTTTCCTCCAGCCTTCCATGTATCTGCGTCTCTGCGCTTCGTCTTCGGCCGCTTCCCTTCGTTTGCGCTGCGTTCTCGACGAATTGCCCTCGCTGGAGTCGTCCGACGTGCCCAAACCCAAGTCCTTGTCCGCTTTGGCATGCACGACGCCCGCCGCAGGTCGGTAATTCGGGCTCTTGTTGATCTCGGTCGGATGACGCAACGACGGGTGTGGTATGCTGTACGGGTGGACGAACGACTTGTGGTGGCCGGCGGTACGGCGCTTTTCGGATTTCGCTCCACCGCCACAGGCTCCGGGTCCGAACAGCGACAGCAGCACCGGCAACAGGAACATGCCGTGCAGCGCGCCGAACACGATTACCAGGAAGATCATCTTGAAGAAGACCATGAATATGTAACTTCCGGCCAAGATGAGCGCGGCCACGCCGAGTATGGTGCTGATCGCCCCCTGGATGATGGGCAACCCCAGGGCGTACAGGCTCTCCCGGACGCGTTCCTTGGGTGAGGCCGCCTTGGACGACATGTACGCGTAGCATATGTGCGCGGTGAAGTCCACCGAGAACCCTATGCACATGATCAGGTTGACCATGGAAATGGAGTCCAGGTTGACTTTCCACAGGGCCATGTAGCCGACCACGCCCAGTTCGATGGACACTATGGAGAAGGCCACCCACAGCGAGCACAGCACGTTGGGTATGAACAAAAACGATATCAGCATCATGGTGGCCCCTCCGACCAGCATGGACTGGATGGACGTGGGACGTACCAGTTCGAACTAAACACATTAGTTATATTGTAGAAAGCTTAAGAGCGGATTTTTAAGTTTTAAAAAGTTCAAAATATCATATGCTAACGTGCAATGATAAAATCTTAAAATATTAATCCATACCGCGAAAACCGATAAGTGTGCTTGAGAAAATGATCAAACCTGAAAATATGCTTACCTGGTCGAAGAACACAAAGTACGGATGGAACACGGTAACGTTGAACGGCGATTCGTGGGCGATTCTTCGGAGTTCCCTGACCATGTCCTTCTCCATGTTGCCATCGCTGATGTTGACCGCTTGAATCATGAGCCGGGATGCGACGATTTTCGTGCCTTCCTCGTTGAACTTAACGTCCAGCGAGAACGGGTTGGGTTTGAACAGCCACAACTGCAAACCAACACAGTCAGATGAGCATCAGCTATAGGTATATCTATAGTTTCGATGCAAGGTTTTTTTTTTGTTGGGATTTTGTGCAAGTACTCACGTCGGTAAGCGTTTCCAAAAACGATTCTCTCGTGTCTATGGTGATGTTGAGTTGCTGCCGGTTCCTGTTCACGTAGTTGACGAAAGATCTGACCCACGATTCGGTGTACAGAGGACTGGATATGAACCGGGAATTTTCGAATGTCGACGTTAAGTTCTCCAGCTGATCCTGGACTCGCGCGTCCCAATAGTCTAGTTCGCCGGTTATTATCACCTGGAAAAATATATTTCAATTTAAAAAACATCCTAGTAAACCCAATCGGCAATCTCAGCTCAGCTGACGCTCCCCTCCACTTCATCCATCCACAATATATCCTATTTTTCTCGTCCTCCTCGTACCCGCCATTTTTTCATTAGTACTTGAACCTATCAACCTCACACACTTTGTCATCACCCATCTGCATTACCACATTTATTATGTGATAGTCGCTTCTGTCTACTTTAACCACCACCACCCCTCGAGGAGTTAATACAATTCGCGTTTATAGATGAAAACAATTATTAACACTGGTTAAAACAGTTATTTCGAATAATACAAATTTACATAATTTATAACAAGACGTCCTTCGCGGGTTTCGCGTGACTCACATCCTAACTGTTTACCGTAAACGTGTATTTTTCTGTTTTCTTTTTTTTTTAATATAAATTTGCGTCCATGTTGGGCTACAACAAACTGGATTAGATGTTTTTGAAACAAAGAACATCATAAACAAGCGACACGTTCCCGTTATGTATTTTAACATAATACCTACCTGGCAAAACGACTGCTTGTGTGTACTCGACTGTAATGGTCTTATAAAACATATATTGTAAATTAGATCTACACGTCATGTATATATTTTATTTATGTAGAAATACATAGGAAACGTATCGTTCGCATATTTTCCTTGACCTTGTTCTCCGTCGTCATATTACCATAAGGTTTGTCAACCCCTTAATGTATGCCGCACCCTCGTCTCCCCGGGACTCTCCCTTCCCCTTAGCACGGATCTGCGGTACGTTACCTGGATTCTGTAGGGAAACTCCCTGAAGTAGAAGTCGTCCTTATCGTAGAAATCGATGGAATACGAATCCGGCCGGGACAGCTTCCTCCTTTGCAGTCCTTCCTGTATGGTGGTCGTGCCGTACAGGGCCCCGGCCAAGTATCCAGCGAACACCAGCAGCACCAAAACTTTCACATACCACTGGTTCAGAGCCCAACCCAGACTGTCGCGGCACCACACCATTATGGCGTTGTCCGGATTGTCCCGGGGGTTGTCCGGGTCCTTGGGGTTCACTCCGCCCGAACAAAACGTTCTGTACAGCCAGGACTTTTTATCTGAAACATAAGACGGTGTGTGAACAAATGGTGTACAATTGGTACATTTATAATATATCAGCTGGATTTCATGAATAATATCCTTTAAGACGACGCGGTTGACACGGTTTTACATTAATATGATTGTTGCGCGCTAATCGGTGGTGACAATGTAATTTGTCTATAGTGCTGCTAAAGTGCAATCTCTATCAGCGTGATTCTGACAAAACAATCAATATCTAATCGTCGACACTATATAAAATGTCATACGGTACCAAATTATATATTATGACGTGTGCTGGGAAGCGTATTGACCGCCCTGAAGACTATGCTGTGTGCACCGACTTGACAGGTTCGTTAACTAACCAATATCGAGTGGAGAAGGCTCTCAGTAATTTGCAGAAATTTGCAGTAATAATATTATTATTATTATACATAATGTATAGACATCGCGAGAAGCTAGTAGTAGAAATTACACAAAACATTAAGTATGAATTGTTTGTATTCTCCCCAAAATTATTTATTCAAGTGGTACGATCTCGCCTTTGAACAAACAATCCGTTAGGTTAGGTTGAAAAAATTCTTCGAGAAACCGCAATAACCCAACAGGCAGATTATATAAACATATTATTTCAACCAAAGACCACATCGTCTACGGTTCAACACCGTCGCCAAAGAAATGACTTAATAAAACATTTCTAGTGTCTGGTCAAACCAGATATTGTTTTTTTTGTTTTTGGTTATCGCTAATTATACTAGTCATAACGGTATGTGACGACCGCAATAGTTTTTTTGTACATAATTTCAACTCTATTACTTATTATTGTGATGTCTTGGTGTTAACTATTTGTATATAAGAGTATTGCGTTATTACACTCTAGTTATTAACTTTTTATTTAAGCTGTACTAATTATAAATGTAATTTTGTTTTTAAATATTCATTACTCTTCTAACCGGTACGTTATTTTATAGCTTATTTTCGATAATAACATAATATGTTAAATTTAATTATCTTGTAATATGTTAGTGATCAATAAAATCATTTATATTTGGATCTGAAAATCGGTTTTTTTTGGCGCCCCACTAGGATTTGACCTTTGACCTTAATATCTTCCAGGGAAATTAATATTTTTTAGTTCTGTTTTTTTGTAAATAATTTGTTCAACTAAGCAAACGGGTTTTTCTATTTTTTTCACAACCTAGCATAGCTAATAGGACTCTGACCCATCTGCCCTGTCTGAACAATAGATAAAGCGGTAATATATTATTATTATATTACTATTCCGTCAATGTGACGGCTGTCATTGTTGCGCAACGACAGTAAAACGCTTAAGTGCAGCAATCCATACAGGGGACATCGTCGATGATTATTAGTGATCTGTCAATACATATAAAGTAACTTTCTCTGAGGTCATTGACGCACTCAAGGCCGACGATACCGGTAAAGTCTACAAGCGGATATTCTTTAATTTGCCAATTAATCTAACCCAGCCCCACACTAGCACTCTATTCAATAGTCAACAATCGGTAGTCTATCTTAGCTCCCCTGGTTTTAAAATTGGCACACCTTAAATCTGTTCATGTTTCGTACCTCAAGTTGTTTGGGCAGTAGAATTTCATAGCAATAACGGTGTTTAAGTACCTCTGATTTTTTTCCAGTGAAATTGCATCTCTGCTAATTATATATTGCAAGTATGAAGGACACATCAAATCAAAATATATGTGATAATACATATACCATTAAAAATATTCCATTTATATAATGTTTTTTCCATGAATTATTGAGATGTAGCTTTTGGAAAAATATATTATAATGCTAAGAAGGCGATTGAAGTTTATTTTAAAGAGACATTAGCAGATGGCGACTAAAAACAACGGATGTAAGGTGGATCGGTTTTTAATGTAATTATGGTTATTCGAAAAATAATGTACCGTTTTGATGTTATGAAATTCTAAAAAATTATTGGGTAGGTATCAAAATTAGAAAAATAAAGCATATAATATTTCTAGTTTTTCTACACGTTTTCTTATACCTACGCCAATAGATATAAGTAAGCTAACCGGTTCAGTAGGTACCTATGACGTTTGATCGGTCACCGGGTTAGTGAACCTGGTACTTAAGTCAATGATATAATATTACACGATGAAACGATTTCAGTTTAAAAAAAAAAAACTAAATTATAATTTGATTTTTTTTCTACATTTATACGCAACTGTTTTTTTTTTTGTTTTTTGTCTAAACCTTAATGGCCTTAATTAAAATTACCTTAACTCTCTTGATACAAATTGTTACAGTCGAGATAGATATAGGTATGCGATTAATTTATTTTTAAATATACTCTTATAACGACCATAGATATCACATTAAACGACAGTTTACAACCAAAGTAACGCTGAATTAATCTCGTTTACACTTAAAATAATCCGAAACCAGAAGTATAAAATTGGTCGAGAAATTTATTTTCATATTATTTTCAAAATTCAAATAATTTAACTGTTGTCGAGACTTGGTAGTGATTTTTCGTATCGTTATGATGCAAAATAATAAAGTCGAATCGAATTTTGTTTTTTAGAACGTGTTCAATATTTATAAAAAAAAAATTCGAAGAGATGACAATGTAATCCCGGTACAATATTTGTTATGATATTATTATTTTTCATTTTTGGTATTATAATATGTTTATTTTTTAATTATTTCGAATTTTGATTACATTTCATGAGTTTTAAATTATTTGCCATTCAACTTCAACAATATAGAATCAATCTTATCCTCCTGAGTATTCTGTATTATGTTAAGCGTTAAATATGAATTTATAAGTCACCATTCGTGTACATAACTACTAAGTATTAATTTTTTTATAGTGTGCACACACATTCGATTCGAAATACCGCTTTTTGCAGATTTCTATTTCAATAGTGAGCTAAAGAAAATTAATTTTTCTCTTATCCCGTACACAAATGGGGTCATTAAGCCGCGCGTCCATCTCGATACCGTCTCGTTTTAAATACTTCTATTTTTATTTAATCTCTAATTTTTCATCTTGAAGTCCAACGCTCACTCCTATGCTCGCCGTTGCTCTTTGAATAATACCATATTAAGCCGAATTGTGCGCAACAAAATGTAATTTTCGAATATATAAATTGAAATATTTCATTATTACCTGACATGGACACTGGCTTGACTTTGATGCAAACGATCGAATGCCGGTTGCTCTGTTCGGCGTATCCCGCAATAGCCATGCACGCGGCGAAGAAAGTCAGATGCCACACGAATATGAAGCAAACGGCAAATCCTGCAAAGGCCAAACGATAAGACGTTAACCACTTGCCACATTTGCACACATTGTTATGCTGTAATCCGTTACTTACCGGAATACAAACAGAAGATCTGTATGGCCGGAAAAGGGCTGAACTTGCCGATGCAGAAACTGACAATGTCCGTGACCGAAGTAATGGTAATAGACACGGCGGCGTCGGACAGGGTTCTTGCCAGCCTTTCGGGCACGTCTAAGGTGACGGGTGTCCGTCTCCACGCTGCCAACATAACGAACGTGTCATCGATGCCGATACCTGAAGCATGGAATATTGCATAATTAATCTAATGGGTTAAAATTGGAAAAGGGAACTTATCAAATTTATTTTGCAGACTTTCACAAATTATTACCATGGATAGGTATGTTTTTGAATAAGAGGTCGGTCCATAATAAATTAGCGGAATATGTAATAAGAAAAAAGCTGATTACGGATGCTGATAAGAGGGTAGGCTGTCAGAGGTTCCCAACCACTCATACAGTATTATTCTTCAAACGGTAAAACTTTGTTACAACGTAGGAAAAAAGAAAAAGAGTAATGCGGGACGTTGGCTTTAACCGGCATTATCAAAGTAGTAACTTGTTATCATGTCTGTTAAGAGACAACTGATATTGGCCCCTGATAAAAGATCGGTTAGATAAGTCAGATAGGTTTAGGTTAGGAGAAAGGAGAAGGCTATTGGTAGGGGAGGGTAAAAACATATCCATGATTCTAAGTTTTCCCGTGTAACTGAAAAATTAATGTGATTATAATATCTGGTTAATCAAATAATTATGCTGTTTTTATCATTTGTAGCTTGTCCTAAGAGTTTTTTATTGTTGATATTTTGGGATAGCAGATACAGAAATTTATGAATGCTCTGTAACATTTATAACAGTTATTTATTTTTTCAATTTAAACTCATACTTCGGTATTTAAAATGAGATACAGCCAAATATATATAATTCAGGCACAGCATGAATGTAATATTGTACATACATGCAGTTACTATATTTGAGTTTCAAGAGGTGTTCCTTTTTTCAAATAACCCATTCAATTGCAAAAAAAAAAACGGAAACACTTTATACTAATTATTTTAAACAATATTTATCCCAATAAATTATTCGAATACATTAATTGTTTATTCAAATCCGTTTTCATTTGATCCATAATATGACCTACAACGACTTATCAATATTTCTGACCGGTTAACCGAATGATGATAAAAATAATAATAAAACAAACTTCATGTCAATGTCAAACTTTAATAAAAATCTGCGTGGAAGCGGAAATCATATTAAAAAAAACCTATTAGTTATCAAAATAAATTGTCGTGGAAAGTTTAATTAAAATACTTTCTCGGAACTGACTTTTTTCTTTACACGAAAAAGTGCTATAAATTACGCGAAATCTTTACTTTAAGTATTAGGAACGCAAATTAATTACCTATTTAACGAAAAAAAAAATCAAAACCATAATAAAGGACGCTGATAAAAATCACCTAACACATTTTCGGCGAATAATAACAGTTAAAAAAAACGTTAATTGACACTTTTGCGTTGATCACAAAGCCCGTACGTCTATAACAAAGTATAATTATCAGGTTTAAAGCGCGAATGCCTATTATTTTCATAGACAAAAACCAAAAGTGAAAACGGTTTTCTGGACAAACGTGCCCACACGGATATGTGTGTCACCGGGAGACGTGCCTGACGACAATGCAAAGGCGAATAATCGCCAATTAAATTTATTCCAAGTCAGTCTCGTTAAACTGTCACACAGATGGGCTTTGACCCGTACAACTTCCCTCCCATTGATCTCGTCTTATTATATTTTCCAGATGGGCCTTAAACCCGAAACAATATCCATTGTACGGTATCTATACCTACTATGTATTTACTAGCGCAGCATCGATGAACCATACAAATACACTGTTTGTTTTGTTCACATAATATTATTGTTCTATTATTATATTATATTTTACTATGTGTAAATCTATGTGACTATATTTTACTATGTGACAATGGTAAATCATCATAATATTAGTTTACAATAAACGATTCTGTGGTACTGTCACATAAGGTCTTGGCAAATTTCGGATGCACTGGTAACCGGTTACCGGTTACTGGTTGTAACCACTGACATGTAGAGGTCATTCGTTGTCAGAGTTATTCATCGTTATTTACTCAGACCATAAAAAAAGCTCATTTTTTTTTTTTTTTTTTTTTTATTAAATTCCTAAAATATAGTAAATTTCTAATAATTTTAATGATGAACGTTAAAAGAGTTTATTATTAGTGTTTTTATATTTTTCATTTTTTACAGCCATAAAAAAGAAAGTAATTTTACCAGTTCGAGTATAAATTGGACCAACGCGATAATATACTGGTAATCCGATAATATAAATGTATTAAAAACGAATAAATACACATTTTTTTTTGTTACTGAAGAAAATTCTCATAATTTATAAAAACCATAAAGATACATGATAAATTGTAAAACTTAGTATACACTATAAACGAAGGCATGTCTAAAACGTTTAGCGTGGAATAACTTATTATACTATTATTTTGTTTAAAACTACCTAGTGGAGACGATTTATAATAATTATGAAAACAAAAATAAATTAGTTATATTATAACGAACGCCGTTATTTGAACTACATTAGATCTCGAAACGACCTCGAAATGGTTGGCAATTATAGCATTTTTATAAATAATTGTATATGTACTGTAAACCGCACATAATGTTATTATGCTCATTAAAACACTTAACACAGAAATAAAGTAACCCGTTAAGAGTATGTATGTTTGTTTATCGTCTAGCAATTATAATAAAATATAATTCCGTCACAAAAATGTGCGCATGCTAATAACTATGAAACGTTACATTAACGAGATAATATAAATTATAGCAATTATTTTAATAGAAATTCCTATGCAGTTTTCAATTTTAATAATATTGTTGACTACTTGCTCTACATGACTATGTATGTGTGGATCTATTAAGAACGATGAGGCATGATAATTTAAGTTATGCAGTCTTATGTATGTGGCTTGATTTTGTTATACAATAGAAGTATCTGAAGTTAGAGAAGTGTTTTAAATTGGCACCAGCAGAAGATCATCCAACCATCAAGGAACTGAGAAATGTCTATTGATTTTTACTGGACCTTTAATGAACGTTCACGTGACCCAGCACAAGTAGTGGTATTATAGCATTTTACATGTTCACGCAATTACATTACTAAGTAAAGACCTGTCTATATACACGGTGATTCATTAAGGATAAGATACACAACTCTTAGTATAATTACAATTTTTTTAGTGTTTCTTTTTGCAAAAAAAAATTGTGTACGTTACTTTACAATACCATAAAATTACTTAATATTTACCTTTTTTAGTATTTTCTAGAATTCTGACCAGAACTTTTGAAACTTAAATGGTATAACTTATGTGTTGGATTAATTTTTAAACGGTACTTACTGCACATGAGGAATGGCGATACGAAATTGATGCCGATAAACGGTATGCCGACGTAGACGGCACACCCGAAAGCGGCTATCGTGGCCATTGCGGCCGACACGTTGCCCATCAGACCCAGCACTGGTTTGCTTCGCACCCAGTCGGTCATCATGCAAGTGACCACAGAGAACACGGCCATGAGCGCAAAAGCCGACGAGAAATACGGCACCACGGTCCTGGTGTTGTTTTCCAGTTCGATGTCCATAGTCCGGGACGCGAACCGAGCTGTGCTTATGTGCTGAAACCTACCGAAATCTTCGGCATTGCCGACGGCCTCCAGGAACTTGTCTTCCCACATGGAACCCCTGGAATTAAAAAAAAAAAAACCCCTAGCTATATTTCGTGACGTGACGTGACTATTTAGTTTAAGCTACGATGAATATATCGTGTACCTTTGGTCCTGAGCTTTGGTGTCGGCCGACGCAAAGTAGACCAGCTGCAACGCGGGCACTCTAGTGATGATGCCGTTCTCGTCGATTTCGGTGCCGCCAAAGTAAACGGGAAAAGTGTGCGCGTCCCAAGTGACTGGGTTGAACATTATGGGGAAAGTTAGTTTGACCGACCCGTTGACCACGTCGTGCATCACGTAGTCCAGGTTTAAGATGTCGTTGGGAAAACACTGATCGATCCACCTTGCGCAAATATCGTCATACCTGTACACGGTGTGCTCGGATCCCCAAGTGAACGACGTGTTCCTTATCAAGCCGTCCAACGTCCGAAGTTCTTTCCATATCTCCACCGTTAGCATGTCGTCACCGTGTTTGGGAGTGACGATTACACGGCCATAACGTCCTAAAACAAGATAATAAAGGTGTAGTTTCAAGATTAAAAACGCTACACTCGTGCCAAAGATCCTCGTGTATGAAAACATATCATGCAAAAAGGCCCAACCGATTGGCTTTGGTCCCTTTCTACACGGTTATAACGTCTTGGACGTCGTCCAATTTCTCATCTCTGATGTATTATGTTTACTATTCAAGTTTTACATTAGTTTTTCCATCGCGAAAATTACCTTGCTTAACTTGTTGGAAATATGGCGTGAATTGTTTTAACTATTAAACCGTCGTTTAAATTGAACGGTTTAATTTATTATACCGCAAAACAAAGTTTGTTCGGTCTTGAACGAGTTGTTATCGTAATGCGAAAACCGACAAGGATAAATAGCATAAACGGTAACGACTAACTAAAACAAGACTCTGGTACCTAGCCTAACCACAGTAATATGATTAAAAATTAAATAGTTTTTACGTACAGTCTATTTTGGCACCGTTCAAACCATTTTCTATTAAGATTGTAAAAGCTGTTTTATACCGAGGTTTGGATCGTTGCCTGGAGTTTATTTTTTTCAAACCAGTCAATCAAATTGTATAGGTTTTCATTTAAATACTTTCCAACCAACTTTTAGATGTTATATTATGCTCAACGTTTTATCGCGCTATATTATATGTTCCTGTCGCTTTTTTTTTTTTAATTAACCAAACTAAGTTGATTAAATTCAATAAGCAGTTTAATTATAGATTGGTAAAAACTTGATTGGAGTTTTTTTATACTTTATATTATATTATGATCTCAAAATTATCTGCACGTGACGGTCAGAAAATGGAAAACCTAGGCAGAATTTCATAGTAATTTCAAAATATTGATATTTTCTAAATTGTTTTGATGAGATTTGGTAGAAAACGCTATGGAAAATAATATTAGATTTCCTGTCGAAAACATTTCCCAACGGTACAAAAATAATGAAAGTCTCGCGTCCGAGCATAGACAGCATATTATTATGGTCTTATTTTCGTGCTGTTAGGGATGTGTAAATAAGTATTTTGGTAAAATTAATAATACTGTGAGAATTTTATTTTAGTTTTTCAATTAAATACCAATCGTTTATAAAAATTGCTGCGCGGGAGAAGCCCAAGACAGGATACATAGTAAATCCATTAACTTATGTGCAAATAGTAGTTTAATGTCACCGTTCTAGTTTAGGGCAACTATTACATATTATATGGTTACAATAGAATGGTTATTTACCTGGTCTGGTGATTCGAGAAGGATTGAAAAGTGACGAGTAGTTCATTTTGAATTGACTCTCGACCATTGCTCGTTCGGTCTTGCCAGGCCCGTGTTCGGGACTGAACAAGTATTCGGGGTCGATTTCGAACTGGACCCTCTGGAACCCCGTGATGCAGATCAGGGACAAAAAAACGGGCACCATCAAAAAGTATCCCGGATGTCTGGCTACTACGTGGCCGAGCCTGTAGAACGCTTTGGTCAGCCATTTGTCAATGAACTCGATGCCGCAAGTCATCTGCAAAAGAGACAAACGCCAACAGTTTTAACCAGCACAGCGAAGCACACACTAAAAACATATCAGTACTGTGGTTTTTGGGAGACACAGTTCTATCCGCTAATTTAAAATAAACGGAATTCAGACGGCGTTTAAACGGTACTAGTGTTGTAAAATATATTATTATAGTAACGTACGCCTTCTTTCTGTGCCGGTTTTGGCCCGTATAATAACATAACAAATGGTGTATAATACCGTCATCCAGTGACCGCCCGGAACAACCGTTACACCATCTCAAGACCGTCTTGTAATAACAATAATATAATCATTAAGTGCGTCTCGAGTTGCAAGTCTCTATCCGTTTGATTATTTCACTAAAAATAAATCCCCTGGCAGATCTATCCGTATTTAAATCATTAAATGTCATATCATAATATGTTAAAAAACGTGCAATGAATGGGAGCATCTTAATGTGTATTTAATAATTTAATATACATGTGTGTGTATACATTTAAATAGGTACATTTTGTTATTGCATATTTAACGATCTCCGTTTGAAATGGCGGTGACGCATATTTACATATAATATACATTTAATTAGTAATAACACTTAATAGATACACCTATTTTTAATGCAAACACTAAAATCTACATAATCTATACAAAATACATCTAGTAAATAAAATTGCAAACACTTTTTATTGACACATATATATATATATATATAAATATTTACAAGAAATTGTGCGCTATTTCGTTATTGTGTTTCATCAAAGCACTGTAGTGAGTTAACAAAAGACTAAACTGAGACTCTGTTATATTTTAGACCATTAATATAACAGAAATTAAATCTGACGGCATCTATCTAATGCATGACCTTTATTTAGTGTATCTAATTTACAAAGCGGATGAATCCGTTTGTCTTAGTCTCTGCCCTCTGGCTCGTTTCTTGATTAAATTTTACACTATGGCTTACAATGGCATTGACATTCATAAATGGCTATAATCATATTGCGAGGAAATTGTATTTTAGATATAGACTATTGCGTGCTTATTATTATTTTGTTTAATGGTATTCACAGAAAACATTTTATCGTGAACGTTATTAATTGCCTTCGCGACCTATGGATTACATCCTACTGCAGGAATGGCTCATAGATATGATTTGAATAAAATTATAATGTCTATGAAAGAAAACGGAAGTAACGATTTGGTAAAATTGTTACATTCTTAAAATATGGTCCATATAGAGAATTTAACTACTTGGTAGTTGATAAAGTTTTTCGCATACCTAAGTCATACCTAAATCAATACTTTGGTTATTATTATACTGCGTTGCGCCTTTATGTACGTTTCGGTTGGCTGTAAATTACTCGAGGTGGCTTTTGACGTGCCATTAAACTTTTACAAACTATACTAACTAATCTTGAAATACCTTAAGTTTTGCCATAACCAAAGTGATTCATACATCAATACCGCAGTCACGAACAGTCTATTGCCCTTTAATGAGTAATGGCGGTCGGATTTAGAGTACTATATTTTATATACTTGATTACTTAAATTCATATACATATACAACTATCAAAATAGATGCTACCAAAGTGCTACCGTTAAATTACTTCTGAGCTGGCTTCTTACAGCTCTTTCTAATGTATTTTCACGACCAGCTTGAAAGGCGTGCAGCACAATTTGATCACAACATTCACAGCTAATATAATATTGATTATGTCGGTACTCACAACGAAATGGGAAATCCGTAAGACTTCTTTTATATTCAAATGCTGTTAACATTTTTCTCGGTGACTACCCGGAGATTGCTGTTAATGATAAAACGATATGGACCTACCGCGTTTCAATTAAAGCTCAGCATAGAATCACACTGGATCGCTACCTGTGCGTTCCAAATCAATTTACTAACACAATCGAGAAAGCGAATTTCCAACTGTACACCCGTCGCGCAGCCACTCCTCTGTGCGCATGTTGACATGTGTAAATTAAAAAAATATACATACATTTATACAAATGTTATATTATGTTGTTCACTTTATACTCTTACAATAGGCTATACCTCACGGAAATCATTTACATACACATATACTGTATATTATGCACAGCTTGCATTGATTCCCAGACCATTGTATGGTGGTTCGCGAGATGAGCCATAAAACTAAAAAAAAATTTCCAAAAACTTAGCCTAACACGTCTGTAAGTACAACAGATTATAACAGATGTTATAAGTATAACATATAAGTTACCTACTATAAGTAGTAGTTTAGTATAAGTATACCTACTAAATAGTTAATGCGCTTACAATTAATGTTGCTTGTGCTATTCCCAGAGTACTTAATGTCGCTGTACAGATAAGTGCGGATTTTCAATAATCTACAATATTTGTGTATTACCGTTTTGCATCCGAACAAGTATGCAGATGATTCCGGCGATGATGGGCTTAATATATTATGTTCACTGTACAGAGTGCTGTATATAATATGATAATAATATTATAGTGACCCTACGGGTTATATACCTAGGCAAGGTTCACTGTATTCTGCGCGTACGACCTAAATTCTTACACGGGACCAGTTTTCATCAGGCACCGCCTATATAACGGGTAATTGGAAGAAAATAATTGTCTGATAGATACGCGCCGAGATATTATTTTTTTTTTCAGTAAAATTATAATAAGATCGGATAACCAGCAATCCGGTTTTCGCACGTGATCCCAAAATCGAACGACCACAACAGCAATACCTACCTCCTAATATACAAGCGTCTTAATTGTATAATAACGGAATACAGCTCCCAGACGATTAGACACACACACACACACAAGCATGATGATGACCTCAGAGGTGACGACCGCAGGTCGATTAAATACGTTTATGGCCATCAAACGTCGTTTAAAGAAAACAAAAAAAATTGCCAACCACCTTACCGTGTGTGTAAAAGCATCGTTAACGACATGCGATCTACCGTTAATAGATCTTATTCCGATGGGTTTCTTTTGTACCGAAAACATATTATATGAAGCCGAATTAACACGACCATTAAGTCCTTCCAATCGCTTAGGTTCGGTGCAAACAGTATATACCTTATTTATTTACCTATAATGTCTGTGGATCAAAAATCGTTAACCAAGCTAAGTTTACACCTTCGCCTTACTCAACACTGAAATAGCAAAACCTACAACGTTAAAATATAACATTAAACATGTTAAACAATTTGTTCTGACCGGTGTTATTCGTTCTGGCTGTTTTGGCAATCTACAACAATTCTTGTATTAATAATTATTGTAATATGAACGGCCATTGTGTACTGCGATTGCAAGAAGAAAGGAAACGATAATAATAATATTATTGTAAATAATCAAATCAAATATTATCGTCCGATGCAACAACGGTACATATTACTTATTGTAGTTTGTATTCAATCAGTGCACACATAGATTTCGGAATAAGGTTACTGCATAACAATAACATACATATATTATCATAGTCGCTTGTCCGACTCGCTATAGATTTTCACCAGTGGGCGTAGGATAGGTACACAACAATCTTAAGAAGAAAAAAATAATGATTATAGTTTGAATTTAAAAGATCATTTTGAACGGCCATTCGATTTTGCTCGCATAAAATATGTACTTGAAGACACCTAAAAAGAAGTGTGCTTTTTTGATCGATTGAGATTCATCAGTTAATAACGCAAATACTTCTTATTTATTAAGACTTGGGCGATTCAGGTCGTACACCGTGTACAATACCGTATAATTTTCAACGCCTTCCATCCATGTGTGTGTGTGTGTTCGACCTAGACCTCGATAGATAGATTTGGCCGGTATGTTCTGACGTGTCAGCATGTGTTAAAAAACAACACACAGGAGAAAAAACAATTCCTACTCTAATGGTTATAATAGATGACAAAAAAAATAGTTTAAGAAGACAATAACACGCTTTCTTTGAGCGACCGTTGTGCTCGGATGAAAGAATGATTGAGGTACACTTTAATAGATCATCGCAAATCGCAAATAACGCCTAAACCATAGTTATCTCAGCATGTGGTTATTCATCAAGTCCGGTAGCATTTTTTTTTGGGGGGGGGGGCGAATACAAAACGTTCTAATATTCTCAACTGTGGGATCTTTTAAATGAAAATGTTTAAAACTGAAAAATAATTATTTAATATGTATATATATATAAATAAGTTTATAACTATTTTGTATATTTTATGTTGGTTTTGACAAAAAAAATAAGTTATATCTAAACAACAATTATGATATTATTCTGTTTTGTCATGATACTTGTTTAATGGTTTTGTATTAATGCTTCTTAGGGGACCATGTTGCTTAAATGTCTTTCTTATCACACGAGTTAAGCACTGCTTACTCCGTCCGGTACTGATTAAAGCGCACTTTACTTTTAGAAGTTTTTATTTCGTATTACTCTTTTCCGTTGGATATTGTTTTTTTTTTATATAGAAACGCATTGAGTTGAACAATTAAAATCCGACGGTTGCTAGAGTTAACAAAAATATAATATACAATCGTCTTGAACGCTTCGTTGGTTGAGAAAAAGATTAATTTAGGTAGATAAGATATTTTTATTTTTTTTATACCTACATAGTCAACTTTCACAATCTATTAATGTATGAATATAGATAAATTTTATTTATTTATTATTATTCCCAACAAGCCTTTATGTATACGGTAATAATAATAAAAAAATAGTTTTAAAAAAAACTTGGTACGAACCATAATGAACATCTCAATCTCTTTTGTACTATATACAAAGTACAAACGCACTTTCATCTTTGTTAATAATAAAACTGACGCCTAATTAACATACCTGCGCTTAGGTATCGTCAGATGTATTTTTTTTTTATTAAGTACAGTAGCAAAATATAAATGTATACCTTAACTGTATGTCGAATTATACATGATTTTCTATTGTGAATAAATTAATAGTATTCTAGTAAGTGATTTAAATTAATTTAGCATAATATTTTATAAATATATATATATTATAATTGTATTTTTAAGTATATTTTTTTAACGTCTCATTTCGATTACTTCAATGTCGTCACAGGCAATACTACTAAAGCTGATCGGCCAAAATATTTCCTACTGTGGATTCGACGGCCTATCCAGTTAACATAATATAGTAAAGATAACACTTGTTAAAAGTATTGTATTGTATACCTACAAGTGGACGGTCAATAACAAAACTATAATAATATGCAGTCGAGCGGTTGTGACGGAAAAAGTAATAATAAGAATTTCTACAGATATATTTTATATTAACACGATTCGGATGGAATACATATATGTATGTATTCGACTATTAAAAAAACTATACCTAGTATTATAGTATTATGAGTAATGACAGGCATAACGTATCGGCAGTCGGGTGTGGCTTTAGATTTATTTGGAAAATGTACATAGTAATGTATACTTACAGGCAACGTTGCCCTTATTTATTTAGCCGTATGGTGGAATTATTAAAAATAGTAATAACAAGACAGCTTTCGACCGCCTAATAAAAACTCAAAATAATATGTACTTATTGAACGCCTGCTCGTTCCTCTAATAGCTGTTGTTAGGATTTAAGTATAATACTCGACCGTTATCTGACCAGGTAGAGCAGGAAGAGTGACAATTTTCAACAATATACATGTATACTATGTGCTGTGACATCTTCAGGAATTCCTGATTACACAAGGGATTCGGATGGATTGCCTGCAAACGACAATCGAATCTGTTTTTAATTCATATCGACAAGAAACAGGAAGATCCCGGTTTCTTCTTTTTCACATTCTTTTGCGGTCGTGACTAACACTGACTAAACTACACATAATTACTATTTTTAACTGTACACTATGCTATTCAACGACAACAGCTCTATACTGTCTGTGGAAATGACCGTAGCGATTCTCACGAGACGTTTAGCATTATGCCTGCAATATTATTCTAGGAGATAGCTTGATAAAACCAAAAGACTCTGGAAAGAAATTATTTTTTTGTAGCGTTTGGTTTTCATGGTAAAGCTCGGATTAACAACACTATATTATGCAAGTTTGGACAGTTTATAAACATGAATATGTTTATGTGGGAAAACTCGTTTGTTCGGTTTTAGACAATGTAATATCAACTCACATAAAATGAAAATCTACTACATGTTTGTAAAATGATCTTTTCACGCGTTTCGGACATAAGTATATTATAATATGTTATAAGATATAACATAGATATGTATTTAAAAACGTAATAAATTGTTTAAAAAAGGGTAATTTAAAAAAAAATACTTCAGACTCAATAAATGATTGATATTAGTACAGCCATTCAAGCTGGTGTACTTAACGCCGTTTTTATGATAATTTCACTCACCTCGGTGTGAACTAGTGCTTAAGCACTAGGTAGGTGTATATTCCAAAAACTATATCAGTACTGTGCCCACAGAGGATTGACGGCGGACATCCAAGTCAGGGCACGCGCAAACGGACTTGAAGATTGAAATTATTTTTTTTTTGTACCGCACGAACTGAACGCGTAGAAATTATGACTTAAACCAAAAACGATTCGACTGTTTCGCACGTGGCCGGCGAACGTATTGAACAGACTGGCCAAACGCCAACAGACACACATTCAAGTCACGGGTAACGGATTTTCTCTACCACCGCAACAGCTTGTGTGCGCATCCTACTTGTCTCCGTCTTTCCCATACCGGCTTCAGATAGTAAGTATACGTTTTAACGCAAACTTACAAAAATGAACAAAAATAACCGTCCTTCGGTCCCAAAGAGGTATTCTATTCTATAGACCCTTCCCACCATGAACGCTTGTTGGCTGCTACCTGTACTTAAAGTCTATATAGGTCCGTTTCAAAAGTTAATTATTGTTTTTTTTTAAAGGGTATACCTTGACTTATTATGATGTTGAATCGTTTATTTTGCCAATGTCACGTGTTGACACAATTTTAAACTCTACTCGGCTAGACAAAGCTATTTGGTAGTTCTGTGTTCATTGTAATATATACACCGTACACAATACCGTTTAAATAGAGCAGCGTCGTTTTTTGAAATGTTGACACAAAAGAAATGTCCAGTGAAAAAAAAAAAATATATATATATATGTATGCACTTTTTAAGTTATTACCTAGATGACACGTTTTAGACTAAATATATTTGCATAACAAAGGTCAATCGTTAGAAATTGATATAACTAAATAAAGCGTCTAATTAAAATTTAGCTACTAGATTGAAAAGTATTAAAGTTATGTTGGAATGAAATTTATCTGTCGAGAAAAATGCATTTAAAAGTAAATAATAAAAAACAAGAATTTAGTATTTTGTTAGCAAAAAAAATGGAACACACAACTTACAAGGTTATTCATAATTCACGTTACAAATTACATGACATTATAATGTGAAATGTAACATGCAATTTGAACGATCCTTTGCATATATTATTATAATAAAAAAAATATAACATCAACAACATCCATTTTCTAAGGGAACAATTCGGAGTATAAGTATTAATCGCAAGTTAGACACTTCTGTTGAGACATTACATTTTTTTGGTTTATAAAGAAAAGTCAGTCGACTGCAAAGGTCGTTAGCCGCATTCGGAGGGTTACAAGCTAACCGAACATTTTATTGTAGACCAATAATTCACATTTCCATGTTAAGATGACAAAAGTTTTAACGACACTTTCTTGTTCGTTTCTGAATTATTCAGCAGCCTTTTGACATTTATCTTATAACCGTTTCGTAAGACAAACAAATTGCATGTCGACTAATTTCTCATTTTACCATTCAACTGTATAAGACTTATTTTTTAAATTTTATTTACTTTGTAAAACATTTTGAAAATTCATCGGTATAGTTTTAATTAGTCCTATCGTTATTTCTTCTATAATTTCCTTTATTTTAAACGCTGGCTTCCTCATTTGAATATAATATGTAAATCTTTAGAAAACCTATAATGTTATTTTCTTGTTTGTATATAGGGCGCTATAGTGCCTTATTACAAAAGCAATAATAAAAATTCAAAATAGTTTAAATGAGATGTATCTCATATGTTTTACTTTAATACAGTTAATAATTAAGTAGGTGCACGTTGTTAATCAGCGCATTATACAAACAAATTCGTGGTACGCTGCACATGTATTATGCTTACAGGTATTTTTTAAAATATTATTCCGACTATTTATAATAATTAGAATGAGCGAAACAGTTATTTTATTTGTCCTTTTTACGATTGCGATTTACTTTATTCACTCACTTTTAATAGATAATTAATTATGTACATTTGTTGTGTATTTAATTGAACAAAATGTTTTTACAACAAAATAACACATTTTGGAGGAATTTTTTTTTGCTAAGTCTATCAAATTGGTTAAATCTGCATTTACCAATGTCTTAATTTTGAAATACAAATATTATTCAAATAGGTCAATTTTTAATACGGATAAATTATTTTTGCACATTTTCTATTCATATCATTTTATTTTTGTTTAAAAAAAAATATTACAATTTTACCTTTGAATTTATATAAAATGGACGTTTTAGATTGTTATGATGTACCCTTTGAATAATTTAGGTATACATTTAGTATGTTAAAGTTAATACCTGAAGCGTTACAATGAACATTTTTTATCGATAAATTTATTTGCATAAAACAAAAGTTATTTATAAGTTATAAACTGTTCTTATCAATAATAATAACATAAAATCCCTTTAACATTAGTCATTAGGTCGTATACAGCTATATAGTATAAAAACAAGTATAATATATAAATGCTATACATTTTAAGTTTAATACATTAGAATGGTTCAATAACTAATTTTAATTTTTTTTTTAGCCTTCATTATCCATTTTCGTATCCATTTTTCGTTGTGGAGGTGAAAAAAAAAATATTTAATTTTTGAACTAGTTAAATATTTACATTAAATGTACGTCTTACTACAAAATTTTACTAACACATTGTTATTCATAAAAACAGAACGTGCAATTTTTCAGCATACGCGTTTGGACAATTTATTAGTTTTTCGTTAAGTTTTAAGGAACAGAGTTCTTTGGGGGACTTACACAAAAAAATATATATTATTTTTTAGCCGTAGCTGATATTTCTGTGTCGATCCAATTCCGGAATTGAGCCACGTTCACATAAACAGCAGGGATTTGATGTAAACCACATCCTATACCCCAGGCCACGATTCCTGCCTGTATTAAAATATCAGGATCATCTGACGGGCACATTAGTGGACTTCCGCCGTCACCCTATAACAGTCCACCGAGATTAGATTGGTACTGGGAGATTATTATTACATTGTATTATTGTCACTGAAATAGGCAATTTATATGCCACACCAGTATGTTTAGTTGTCTACACAGCGACTCTTTGAACAAAAAACAACACTTACTTTACATGTGTCTTTCCCTTCTTCGCCGCCGGCACATATAAAACTCTCGTGCAATCTAAATCTTGGACCGAGTCTGGTGCCTCTAAGGGTGTTCTCGCAAATATCTCTGGGAACAATGGGCAGCTCTACTTTTTTCAATATGCTCACATTGTAATGGCCAACTTCATCTAAATATAAACCGTTCAGACATGACACGATAATAATATTATGCTCTATGAAACATATTCATCAATAATATTGTACATACGAGTTACACCTTCCGATGTCCTCCTTGAGATAGTGTAGTTGTTTGTAGTTACTTCTTTGCCCCAACCGCTCGAGAAGCACAACGCGAGGTCAAACTGTTGGTTTTGCTGTGGCAAGCATATCGTCTTGACAGTTTCTTGCAAGACAAACGGGTCTTCGATGAATATTAAAGCCACATCGTTGTGTAGTCCTCCGGCATAATACTCATTGTGGGTAACGATTCTGGACGCTCGACGGTCTTGGTGCATGAATATTTCCTTTTCGGTTTGCAAGTCCCATTCGCCTGCTCTAACTACGATGGTCGAAGGATCTTTCCTGGAACAAATCAAGTCAATTAAGAATTACAAAATATATTATGGCACAGAGTATTGACAGATTTCCGCAACAGCTGTTCTCCTTACACTCTCAACTACTTGGGGTCGACAACCCTAGTCCTACACCAGGTCTTCCTCTTCCTCCCTTTTCCTTCTACATTCATCTTCAAAACAACTCTCACTGTCTCTGCCTCATGTCTTCTCATAACATGACCGAACTATCTCAACCTATTACCCACAATTGATGCAACTCCTAGACTGCCCCATCGTGTATTCATTCTCATCTCATCTCCTCTTGTCTACTGTCCAACATCCCGACCCATATTCTGCATTGCTGGCCTCACTACTGTCTTTTAAAGTCTACCTATCATATAGGCTTACTCACTGAATAACGCAATGCGCGGTCGTCAAAACGACGTTGGGCTTGATCAACGAACCGCCGCAATGGTAAAACAGTCGGTTTCCGGCAGAGTTTGATCTATCCTCTCTGAATATCGCCACCATGGACGGATACTCGGCGTACTGCGACTCGCTGTTGACCGTATTGACCACTCTGAATCCTATGCCTCCTCTGTTCCAAGTGCCACAGGTGTTTCCACCGTCGGAACTCTGCTGCGAAGCGCCAGTGTTAATGGACGAAGACGAGCTGGACGATGACTCGGGAGTGTTGTAATACTCTGGGGTGGTGTTCGGGGGGTTGTACTCGGGGTTATATTCGTACACGGCGGTGGTCGTGTAGTCTTGTCCGGATTCGGGTTGAGCAGTGACTTGTTCTTGAAATTCACCGTTACCGTTCGAGTTGCCTTTGTCCTGATCTAGGGGCAAAGTCGTCGAAGTCACTGCGTTGTTACAACAAACTTCCAAGTAACTCGAACACGGACCCAGGTTTATCCTGAAACATATGCAATAGGTTTATGCGTGTATAAACCTACTCTTGGCAAATCATTTAGGAAATCCGTCGTTTTACCTGACATCGATTAGGTTGATTCCGTCGCTATTGGACTCGTAACCGGGGCACATGTTGAAGGGCACGCAAACGCAATCATTGTTTTGTTGATCATTGTCGGTGTTGGCGATTTTGGATGTCGGTGGCGTGGAAACGGGCACGGCGACTTCGGCATCCGACGGGAACATTGAGACAATAGCACTTTGAAAGAAATCGAACTGGGCCCTTACGGAAACTAATGCTGTCAGCACTAGTATGACCACTACCACCGTGGTTGATTTCGACGTCTGACAATCCAAATAAAAACATAAAATAAAGACACAACCATTGGCCGAGGTGCCAGGCAGCTTAGCCCTCCAAAAGCAAAACTGTGTGATCCACTCAATATGTCATAGGGTTTATTTTTCACTAACTAAGTATTGTTTCCCGTAGTGTTTTTATTAATTGTAATCACAAACTTTAACCTCCTCCCAAAGTAATTGTTTTGTTACCAGCTTTAGAAACTTAAATGGTGTCTTTTAAATTTGATAAATGATTTAATACAAATGTTGACTGGTCGATAACCAGTTTTTAGTCGTTACTTTTAAAGTTATTAGAGTTTAAAAATTAGGGTGGGAGGACAAGTGCGGTTGAGTAATCCTACCTTCCTCCCATCTTGAAATTTAAATATTAATAACTTTAAAAGTAATTATTTCAAAATCGATTAATATATTATATTGCTTAAGCATAGGTTTATGCGAAAAATAGTGCCAACTACTTACCATTTTAAAGGTATTATCCAAGGTACAGTAATTTTATTGTAAACCGACGGACGAGTGAAAATAAACTGAGGACAGATTATGGCACTATAAATAAATGTAATAATGCAGCTCATACTAAATTTTTTTTAATTGCCCCAATCTGGAATCGGATATTTTCCTTATTATTGTGTTAATTACTGTAATTCCATTGGCCGTTGTAGTGTAAAAATAACATGTGTTATCAACCTTTAATCTACAATTTAAGATATCTGAATTTAACATCTAAAGGTTCAGACCAAAGTGTTGTTTCCATAGGTCGATATTCTATACCTACATGTTTATATTATTATGTATATTATAGGCAATTTACAATTATAGTTATAATGGACTTTACCACTTTTGTTAGGAAAACCGTATGGTTAAAGATTAAGTATTTTGTTTATTGGTCAATATACACATTAAAGTAATTGTAATCTACTTTCGTATTCGTTTAACAATCTGTTCTCAACATGTGGTTAATTTGCACTGAACAAAAATATGTTAAGTCACATATTGTGCCAAGTCATATGATATTTTACAGCCAAATTATAATTTAGTAATTGCCAATTGGTAGTTGGTTTTACCGAATATTCTTATAGTTTTTTAGTTCACTAATTTTATAGTCTAAAATACTATGTAGGTATATTATGTAAAGTTAACTATTAAGTTCTTCTGTCAAATTTAATACTATAGTTTATAAATTTGATCTTTAAGTTTATTGGTTTGCAAAATCACCTTTAGTAACCCTTTGAAGAGTAATATAGCTAAATTTTAATTAACAGCAGGGGTTTGTGTTTATAATCATGTATATTAATATAAACACATTTGCTTAACACATATTATTTATTTTGTAACACACTTACATTGAAAATGAGGCTTAACTAACGAATTTATTTGTATATACATTTAACTGAACCGTAGCAGTTTATTTGTCTTTCGTTAAATACATTAATATTTGATTACCCGGTAACCTAATAATTGTAAAGTTAATATTTGCTCAGTAAGATAAACTCTGGTTTGCCCGAACGTTAATTAATAATATTATCTCGGAAGTAAACATGTTCGACCTTGATTGAACAAAACGATAACGGTCATAGTGGTTTTTTTATGCATAACATTATTTTAAGTTTTCACAACACAATATCTGGACTAGTAACAATTTTATTTTCCTTAAGATTTAGCTCATCAACCAAGATCATCCAACAATATTCTTGGTCTTTGTTGGATCATTTTAAAAAGTACCTGTGAACCAAAAATCAGAATACATATGTAATATGAATGATGAAATGTATTGTATATAAATAATGGTGTTATTATTAAGAACAGCTGTTATATTAATAGCAATTATCCAAAAATCCAGCCTAGACATACAATAACAAAGTTGTACACTACTGGACCGCTGCAGTTGTTCATAAACGACCGGAGGCCAACTAGTTAGAAAGACTCAACTGAGATGACGTTGGTTTGTTAACGATTATATTTCAATACTGCAACGAAGTGCTGTAACTACCTAAAACAGTATGCACTGTATAATATTTCTAAAGATTTTATCTCTTCTCATAAGAGCTATTTGTAAAAATTGTTTTTCTTTTGTTTGTACTGTGTGTGTGTCATATTTAAATTCAATTGTTTCCCTTAAATTTGTACATTAAAGACACACTTCACTTTTCGTTTGTCTAAACACCGAAATAGCATCATCATAATATTATAACGAGAAAACTGACAATAATATTATAAACTCCTAGTCCAAACAATAATATGAATCGTTAGATGAAAAAAAATGTACAACGTGATCGCAAACGTGTTCAATATGTTTATCACGTCTAATCAAGCACGTACTGTGTGCATAATATTACATACAATTACACGCATTAAGCAAAGATAAACTGCACTGGCCATTTGAATGTCAAGACTCAGAAAATATAATGGTAATATGTGCCCTCATCGGCTAATACTACCCCTTAACATCCCTTCAACAAATGTCATAACCAATCTAATAAGATCATCAAAGTATATTTAATAAATTTGATGTATTTAATATGTAGACTATAATGCTAAAAATGTTTTGTCAAAACGAACATCAGACGATGACACATCGATTACAATATTTTTGTAGTAAATTTAAATATTAGAGAGAAAAAAAGATATACATATATATATTTATTATTATTATGGCTTTGGACAAATTAATTGAAGGTTGAATCAATGTAGGTTTTTCCTGGCGCGTGAACTGACATAGGCGTTAATATCTTAATCGTTTCACCACAACGCCAGCCAGCGGCATTCTAGATAATTCCCCGAGATGGAATGATGAGCTTAAGTGGTTATTCGGTTGACAGAAAATATACATAATATATTTTACAAGACCATAAATTGAAAAATAAAACTATTAGGTGGCTAAATCTACAAAAGCAATCGTGGAAATAGATTTTCTTTAACCAGTCATATAGGTATAATATCTAGTGTTTTCCTTGCACCAAACTGTTAAAACGTTTTATCTCTATCCCATCCGATTCGCCATGTATATTATATTCTGTTCCAGTTGACTGTACAACAAAGAAATAAAAAAATAAATACTTTCTACAGATATAGGTACGCTGTCTAACACTCGAGCAACGCAGATCGGAAGTACTCGGGAAAAGTATAAATCTGCAATGGTCACAAACAAAACTCAAATCGATTTCATCGACTTAAACTATTCATAAGATATCTGTCATAATTATAGGCTCGAAACCACTTTACTTGCAAATGCGTTGAAAAATCCATGGAAAATTTTTCTTCTGGGAAAACTGATTTCCGAAATTCAGTGACTCACGGACGGTTTTTTTTGCTTATTAAATATTATATAGATTTCCAATTTTTTTTACTGGCAACACAAATTGTTCATTCAGCATCAAATCTAGATAATGTTTTAGCAGAGTACAAGAGTTATTTTAGCACTATAGTACGGCCAACAAAAAGTGAGCCGCGATCGTCACGCAACTAGTGGCCGTTTTTTCCTTATTCAGGAATTCGAAATCCGAGAGCGGTAGAACAGGTGGCGCGCTTTTTTAAAATTGACAGTTGTTTAGCATAATATATAGTTTGTTTTATACACGCAAGTTTGAGTATCTATTTTATTTTTATTTTAACTTTGAAATTAAAATATGACATACATATTTAACTAAGTTTTTAAAATAAGAATAATTTGCTGAAAATGTTGATTGGTCGATAACTTTTAGATTGTTATTCTTATTTAAAAAAAAATTGTATTTTTAAATTTCAAAATTTAATTGAACTTTGGAATTTAAAAAGATTAAAGATAAAAAATGTAATATTGTCTGCCTTTGTAAAATAATATAAATACCAGCAAAAAAAAAGCAGAATGGTAAGGTTAGTATAGTACTGTATAGTACTAGTACAGGTATTATTCATAAACATTGGCAATCTAAAAATTCATACAGCTTTCTAGCCAACTAAATTATCAAAATATATCTTTTATATGTATTAAAATTTAATTTTTTATCATTTTTATCTTTTGACTTTTTTATTACAAATTTGAACTCTCTTTGGGCGTCTATGTAAGCTTCCCAGACCAGATTCCGTTGCTCTATTTAGTAGTTATATTAATATATTTTTTACTTTATAATACTGTTAAACCATAAATTTGCTATCATGATCTCTTAAATATGTTATATTTAATATTGGAATTTTTTTTTTTTTAAATGCAAATAACTTAAATTACATATTACGTAAGTTCAATTATGAAAATATTAATCTACAAGCCTATTTACTTATAATTTTATAAACCAAATACTTTTTTTACCATTAACACATTAACAAAGAGCTTACACTTTAAGTATTTTTGATATTAAAAACATAAAAAAATTCTAAATAAATTAAAATACAATATTCGAATTGTCCTTTCAGACCTTATCGTTGTTTCACAAATTTAAAACTCATTCATTACGCCTTAAATTTGTCCTTGATTTGTTCCATTAACAACAAATTTAAAGAAACTGTTTTAAAATGTCTTGTATTTTTTTTAACCGTTTTTTAGTAATTTACCAATAAAAATAAACAAAATGTTTAAGACGACCTCATTTTAAAAAACCAACTTACAATTAACTTGTAAGTGAGTGTTGTAACAGCTACACCTCGACACCACTTTCCACAGTATTAATTGTTCACATCTCTTAATTTCCATGATATTCTCTACTATTGACAATTTTCTTTTAAAACAGTGTGTTTATGACTATACACAATGTGTATGCCATTAGATTGGACCACACAAATTATTATTTCCAAAAAACTAAAATTTTTTTCTCGTCAGTTTTTCTAGTTGTTAAGTTCTAAGTTATTACTTCTCATTTTAAATACATTGTATAAATATATTATTATTATAACACTATATCTCTCTTATATTATTATCACATGGTTAAGCTACCTAAACGACTATACTGGGTCTGATTAACTATCTGAAACACCATTGCTTCTAAATAAATTATAATTCCAGCATTTGTTTTTAAATCATAATCTTTATATATTTAATTTTAATTGTATTGATAGTATTAATATTAAACATGATGTACAAGCTTTATGCTTGATTCTCTAATACTTGAGAAGAATGGTACCCCTCAAGTACTTCTGTGTCCTTGATTTTAATGCTTGCATCAATAAATTGTTTTATAGTAGTCTCTGGCATTTTGTCAACTAAGGCAAAAGCCTTAGTTATCAGATTCCTAAAATGCACTATATCAAAATAACCTAAAAATACAAGTTATTTTTTAAATTAAACTAATAGTATATTATGTTTGTGTATAAAAAGCTTGTCACATCAATTTTTTTTTCTTTAATTTAAATAATAAGTAAAAGTTGGAATTAAAGTTTACTTACAGTGATCTGAAAAGTCTTGTATAAGACCTTGACCGTGCGTATCCAAAAACTCTATTACTCGTTCAAGATGAATAGTTTCAGCGTTAAACATATAATCGTTAAGTGAATGGGGGCCAGGAACACTACTAATGTATTGAAATCCTCTTGCTAATGCCTATCATTACACATAATAATAGCTTGACAGTGTAATAGTGTAATAAATATAATATTAATATAATTCCTAATAATTACTGTTCGGTCTTCCACAGTGAGGAATGGTAATAAAAAAGGTGATCTTAAGTACAGAATAGAAAATGTAAAGAACTTTTTATTTACCCAACATTCAAAACGCAACTTTTTTTGATTATTTTTAAAATATTAATTGGTCAAGATTTGTAATACTGAAGAATAATTAAAGCATTAAAACAATAAGAATTATTGTTACTCAAATTTTACTTTGGGCCGACGAATTTTAATTTGCCGAGGCGATTTTTTTTCTAGTCCGCCGACGAGTTTTATAAATTCTGAAACTAACATAAATTTTGAACAACAAACACATCAACCCAGAAAAACAGAATAAAGTAAGCTAAACGAAAAAACCAACAGATGTTTGTGTATGTATAATAAATATTATGTTTTTTTGATCAAGCAGATAGCGCGAAAAATTGTTTTCAGTTTAAAAATATCATTTAAAAAAAATTATAAAGGTTAGGTTAAAAGTATTAAGATTATATCAAGCGATTTAGTGTAATAATAATATTCATATCTATTATAATTAAATTCGCTTTTATTATTTATAAAAGATTTAATTCTATTTTTTTAGAGGGAATTTATAATTTACAGAAAAAATAATACTTATAGATCCGTTCGTCTCCGATGTGTGTACTTTTTTGTTTCTACCTGTCAATATTGAAAATAAAAAATATATATTTTTATCAAAATAGAAAGTATTCGTTATCTACTAAAACAAAAACAATAACCACTTAAAGTAACGCAATAGCTACATAATAACATCAACAGAAAAAAAAATAGTTATTTTTCAACCCTTTGCGAATCAAACGAGCAATTGATTATTGGCTGCCAAAAAGATTTTTCCTTAAGCATAACCGGGCTGAGGACTAACCCACTCGTCTTGTCCATATTATAGGTTATGATCTGGAACGTGTTTTTTTTTTTAAAGAAGTTAAATTCATTTTTTTTTTTTTTACTCGGTCAAGTTCATTATAAGTTTACCGCTCAAGACAATTACTATTATGTACTGTATCATCGACCGCGTTACAAGTATCGAATTAATTGGTGTAATAACGATAATATTATAACGAAAAAAACACAATAGCAATTTATTTATTTGGTATTGGCTGTTGTTTGAATATTTTTTATATAACGGCAAGACGTTTGTCGACCGTGTTCCATCTTACAATAAAGGAAATAATAATAGCGTTTGTCTTAACAATGGCCACGTTCGTTTAGTAACGATTATAACAGTATTATATTATTATTATATTGTTGGCGAATACTCGACGGACACGTGTGTGTTGAATCATTTTGCCGGCTTGAGCTGCATGTTTTTTTTTTAAATTAAAGACTATTCTCATAGATTTTGATCGTGAAAATCTGCCGGAACGGTTTGAGAGATCTGACTTCTGGGGGGAATTATTATACATAATTACCTGGCATACAGCTATTTGCAACGGTTGTGTTGGAAGACCATGTAGCTGTTTAGACCAGCATACAAAAACCAGTCTACAGCTGTTCCAATCTGTTTATATACAAGTGCACGCGCAATGCCAAGTGTCAGTTCTCAGACGGACATAGCATAGGAGCGTATAGCTCCTATTTTTAGTGGTTATTAAAAAAAAAAAAAATTTTATTTATATATATATCTATATTTTTTATCATCGATGCGTCGACAGTGTTTTTTATTTTTTTGTCTATTTTCATTGACCGTCCACTGCTATGGCCAAAGAAAACGCAGAGAAGGTATGTAACCAAAACAAAAAAAATCATATCTCAATCGTTTAATGACACTATTCCAAACTGCTGCGTTGTACAACACGACAAATTTTATAATTTTTTTTTTTTTAATATTTCCGAAATCTTCTTTTATAATATTGTAACAACAGATTTTAGCTTACCTGTGGTTTAACATTTATGTCAGGCGAGAGGCTGTAACGGTATGGCCAAACATGAAGAGCATTGGCTGTTCATACTCTCCTTTATATTATAATAGAATATGTTTTTCAAATTTCTAAAAAAAAATGTAGCTCAAAATGAAATATTCTGTACAACAAAAAACTCTATAAAACTACTAAAGTTAAAATGATTATTTAAATAATACTTTTAAAAAATTAATGTTCATCTAACTGATTTTATATACCTAAGAAAAACATCTACCGTTATATTTACTGTAATAGTTTTATAATTTATTGTAGATATAGGCACTTTGTTATTTTATATGGACACTACTGTGCATCTCTTAATTATAATATAGCTTTTAAAAAAAAATTCAATCTAACAATCAAAACAGTTGTTGTTTTTTATACGTCAATTAATTTGCCAGACAGAAAAGGATAAAGGACAAAATATTTTCAAAAAATATCGTTAACAATTTTCCAGAATCATTTTTGTGGATAAAATATATAGATTGAAACCTTTTTTAAAAATATTTTCAATACATTTTGAAAACATATTTTTTTTTGTGTTGTACGGGGTAGTGTTAATTGACTTGATGATTTCGGTATAGGTTTGATTGTAAATATTTACATATATGTATAATCTATGGTTATACTGGCAATCCTGGATATTCATGGGCTTTTTTTATGTTAAAGTTCATTTTCCGGGTTACCATTATTGCGGACCAGGAACGAGCTCGGCCAGGATAGCCAAAAACGAAACCGGGATCAACGGACTGGACGAGGCGTGTAGGCGTCACGATTTGGTGTACGACCGCAGCGAGGAACTCAAACACAGGGTGGAAGCGGATATCCGTTTGGAGCACGAAGCGTGGGCCAGGGTAAAAGCGTCGGACAGCAACAAATGGGAAAAGACGGCCGCGTGGATAGTGACCAACATCATGAAGATGAAACGCAAATGGGGAACTAGAAAGCTCAGGAGAATGTCACAGCCCCGAGAAATAGGTATGTGATCACTCATTTGTAACATAAATTAAAAATAACACCTCGAAGCTTATATAAAAAATTAACAGGAAAATTAATTAACGTGATCAAAATGTATTAAAACCGTTTTTTTCTGAAAATAAAGCCTAGAGATAACCTTTTTTGGGGCACTTAAAAATTTAACTTGCAGATGAATTCCTACCCATCTAGTATTACTGTTTACCTATATTTAATACTTTTAACTACATCCAAACACAATTATTATTCAAAATAAACCCTTTAAGTAACACGGATTGTATGTAAGCATAAAGTTGCAATACTTTTCTTCGTTTTTCAGACATAATCAAAGAAGAACTTGCGGACGACCACGACCCAGCTTGGTTTAATCACTTGCCCCCCAACCACACACGATAGCAAGCTAAAACATATTCCATCGACATGTGCTAATCTTCAGGTATAATAAAAGTTAAAAAAAAAAAAGCTGACTTGCTAAACCGTCGATAGCAGCTAATTAATATAATTATTTTATTATGTTCGCAGATGAACTCTGTCGAAGGTGAATGACTTATAGGAGAATAGACGCCAATGCGGGATGAGTTGCTGGACAAAAACAACGTTTTACTTTTAAGCGTACTGTGATATTAGTTTTTTTAAGTCTGTAATTGTTTAAACTATTAAATCGTTTGAGTTTATATTATTGAACCGCTTTAATTTTAAAAAAACCATTATAGTATACGGTATTTTGTTATTATTAGTTTTAAAACAAAGACGATTACCTTAAATTATTTAAATTTTATTGTAAGTATATAATATTATACTATTAACTGTAGCTACGTTTATTGACCTAACCGCGCGTTTGGTCAAAAGAAAATAATATGTAAATCATTTTTTTCACAAGGTCAATTAAAAAAATATAATCCCATTTGTTTAATATGCACTTTAAATGTTTGTTGAACTCCGGGTCGTTTAAACAATCGTTTATCCGTCTGACATATAAATTTATATTTCACACATTCATTCGTTGACGTTGCAATAACAATATTGAAAAGGTTATTGTACTTAACACTACAACAAACGGTTTACCGTTGAAATACATTTTTAAAACAACAAAAAATCTAAAATTTATCAAGGTCCGGCAACCCCCTCCCACGCCCTAAACTCGTTTGCATAAAATATAGGTCATACCAGGTAGTATTCTTTACACTATTGAACATTTATTGTTGCAGAATCTGTGTTTGGTTTCAATAACTTTTATTTAAAAATTGATTTCAAAAACTAGCTTAATGAGAACGTTAACGCGGACTTGTGATTTGCATAGTACATACACATCCAATAAGAAAGTCAGGCGAAAGGTGAGATTCTTTCTGAAACCACGTCATATTTAATATAATCAAACACGCTTTCTCCGAATATTTAATTAATCATTTACCGATTCATCTAGTAAATCAATAGTCTTCTGTAAAACATTCCAATAAGAACTGTTTTTTTTACTGAGCAGATTTATAAACTAAGCTGATTTATAAACGTTAAGTAAACCGTACAGACATTGATAAAAATGATGTTACCATAGCTGTTAATTATAAAACTAATTAAAAAATAACAATGTTTGTGAAATTAGAAACTTAAACGAGTCTACACGGAAAGAAATACATCAACTAAAACTAAAGTTAAAAAGAGACACAATACATATTTAATTAGAATAACAGCTAAAAAATTATTCGGCCAACTAAATGTTAAATTAAAGTAATTTAGTTATTTCAATTATAACAGCTTTCTTGTGTCCCTACCATAATTTTAGTTGGGTCAACTATGTATTATGCATCATATTAAACGGCAGTGAGTCAGAAATGTGATTTGCATGGCTGAACTATGCGATTATTAAAATATTCTGCCTTGCCAATAATCAGTGTTGGGAAATATAGTATATATTTTGTGACCGGTCTCCGATTTGTGGTTACTGAAATGTTAATATTTATGTTCCAGAATTGTTCAAAACAATCTTCTCAACCAATAATAATTAATCTAGAAATAATTTAACAAATCCGCATGTTTAATGACCGGCCGAGGCAAGAGTTTTGATTAAAAAAAAAATATGCCTTATTAGAAAAGGACAATACAGCTAAAATTAACCCACATGCATAAAACCACAATTAAGTTGAGCGATGATTTAATTTGTTTTTTTTTTAATATACAAAGTACTATCTTAAAATGATAATGATTTTTGTTTATAGTTACTTAATACGCTATAATTACATAAAAATGAATGCAGTAATAAAAAGTATTTTTTTTAAACTATCTATTTTTCAAATAAGATAAATAAGTTAATATCTAATATTTATATGTTAATTGTTGATGTTGGTATAAATTCCAGAAAATTATGTGTGAACATATTCACTGGTTCGAATTCGTCATGATTTTATTATTATCTGATTCTGTATTTTTTCTAGATGTCTTATTGTGCTTTAATGGCGACGTTACTGATGTTGTTAATTATTATAAATTATAAGTTTTACCGCGTTCTTATTATGGTTATTGTTTCTCTGAAATCTAATTATTTTTGCTACAACAGCGCTTGGAACAATGTGTTCTTGAGACGGTGGTTAATGCTTCCTATAATAATTTGAAATAATCTTATAAGAGACCGTCGTGCAATATCAGTGAAATCTTTGGTGCACTTTGACAGGGCTACGTTCGGAGTAGATCATTACAAATACCATTATAATAATTACATTTTGTGTGCATGGCAAAATAACTTTTTTATTTTTATTGTTTAAAACAAGAGGAGATTAACGTCCCGTGTAATAACGACTGAAGTTAATAAGAAAAATATCTTGCCATAATATTTCATTACATTTTATTCTTTTCTTTCTCTTGTACAGTTCAAGTTAAACTATAAATATTGATAATCGATATTTATTTTGAGTGCCAAAAGAAAAGTGAAAAAAAAACAAAGTTTAATTATTTTAATTAAGTAACAATAACCATTTTATTTTATTTATTTAAAATAGCTGATCATGGAAAGGAACTCACATTACTTCCATCAAGTGTTACACTAACACATGTAGGTTTTCTTCTAAGAAGAAAATATGTCGCAAATTATGAAAATCAAACGTCAAATTTTCCACTCTGCATATTGTTGCGAATAAAAATTGTTTAAAATTTAAAAGTATTCGGTTAAATAGCACAGTACAATATCGATAACGGAATTTCTGAACAAAATTATTTTAATTGATTTAATCGTTTTACCATAATCGAAATAACGAAATTCAATCTGTGGCGATAACGTGTAGTCCGAGTCTTAGATTAAGTTAGATAACAGAGAACACTGGTCATTAATTTTGCTATGCATCATATTATGTAATTTTCCTTTAACCAATTCATCATAACGTGTCACCTTTGATTTATTGCCAAAAGCTATGACAAAGGCGCAAAGCTTTCAATTGACGTTGACCGTTGTGAACTATTATTGTAGACACCTAAAAAACAGTCGATAAGTACAATACATTTTTAGCCCCGAGCCAAAATTAAGCTATTTATCAAACCAGAGCAGCGACGGATTCGAGAGATCAAATACTTTGACAATGATTCCATACTGTAGAATAGTGACAAATTATAGTACCAAAATAAAATACATTCTCCTTGGAAACAACAACTATTCGTGTAAAACATGTACCTACCATGAAAACTTGCAATACAACAGCTAAAATGGCCTATTTGTAAAAACGATAATACTGCAATGATGGTGAGGTAGTGTTGGAAACAAAGAATACAGAAGTTAGGGGAAAGGGAATATTTAGTTTGGACTCTAATTACTCTTATGTACCCTAATTGCGGCATTATCTAAATTCTTGATAACAGTTTAAAATTCAAAGATCCGAACCGGTTGAACGTATCAGACCTTAATCAATGTGATTTTCGTCTCTCAAATAGTGGTGGCGAGTCTGTTAAGTTACCATGTTCCGGTTTTGTTTTGCAAGTTTTCTTCTACGCAACGTGACCAGCCACTGCTATGGGCAGAGTAAGTATAATATTTTATTACCGCTTCAGCCAAACTACTTAAAGGCGCCATGCTTAAAATCGACATTTTGGACAGCCACCATTCAATAAGAGACTGTATATTATCGCAAACACACTTTGGAAGAACTGCTATTCTGAGTGAGACAGTGTATTTTCATACTAAAAAACATAACATTTGCTGTCATGCGATTTTAGAGTTAAATATTTTAAAAAGTTATTTATGTTGAACATTTCTTAAGTGCTTACATTGTTCAATAACAAGTCGACTGTTTGCTGATTTTTTTTTTCAATCCCACAATTAAGTAGTCAGCTAGCTTCATTTTTTATAATATGATAAACAGCTGTGAATTAATTGACTCACGTGACATTTACCTCCTAATATAATAGAATATGTAACAGTATACACCTTAGAAATTCTTAGTCCAGAGTTGATATTGATAGTAAAATAAGCTTTTAAACTGCCAACGGTTATGTGTAATTTTTATGTTCACTTTAAAATTAAATCAAAGTTTTAATTCTAGCCAATGACCGTCGAGTTGTTGCTAAATAATGATCAATATAAAAAAAAAAAAATGAACTGAAACATGCCATGTATGGCGAGGAGCCCGCTTGATTTGATTAATTAATTTATATATATATATATATTTACATTTTCTTAATCCAAAAGTTAAAAGTTAAAACATGAAAGTGATTTTAACACCCTGAAATTAAATCTCAGTGCGTTAATGTTTTCTTTTTTTTTTTTACTAAACAAATAACCCAAAAGTATACTTAACGATAAATGACTAATAATTATTCTCATTCCAACATCAAAGTCGAGCCCGGACAAATTGGTACCATTGAAAGAACACTATTGATTGTGTCTGTAAAATAAAATATAATTTTAGATGTACAACAAAATAAATAACAATTTAAACAAATAGGCTCTTATCGTTGAACTTCACTTCTTTATTCAGTATATTTAATAAGGAGTAAAGAATAGGAACCAACCGACATTGTTAATAATTTATTAACTTAATGTAAATGTGTGTTATTATTTTCCAGTTCACTTTCCGGGTTATAAATACTGCGGCGGCGGTCAAATAACCGACCAGGAACTTAATAAAGCCAACAGCACGGGTATCAATCCACTTGTCGACTATTGAGACATAAGTCACAAGACCGTTTTTTCCATATACATCTGGAAAGGAGAACTATTTTTCATATTGCATCGTTTATTATGTAAAACCGTGTTAAGTAAGGTTTTCCCCGAAAAGCGAGAAAAGTTTTATGACATATCAGACGCCTAGAACTCACTGGTCAATTTCATGGGTTGACCTTACTCTGGAATGGTTGCACAGTAAGACCTTGTGAGAATCTACCCGGGAACCACGTTTTAATAATAACAATAATAATTATAGCTACTTATTAAACAACGATAAGACGTGTGATAAGTAAGTTATAAGTATAAACAATAGCAAATTTTTCGATGCTTACAAACCAGTTAATAGGTCATGTTTGATGTTTCTAAGTCACGGAAATACTTTTTATAAATGTAAGACTTTGTCTACAATGGACTATAAATGATACATAATGCTATGCATTAAGTATCATAAAATATTACAAATTTATATTATATAAATATATTTACATTTTTTATGGGTACACATGTAAAGCATTTGGAAAATCCACTTTCACACA